AGCCTTTCTCTACTCAGCTCAACACGCTGAGCATGCCAGCTTGTGAGATTCACACAGTGATCGAATTGACTATCAGATAAACTGTACAACAAAAGGCCGCTTCTGCTCAGACGCCTCTTAGACGGAGATTTTGCCATGAGTTGCAGATGCATGGTTGAGTTCATCATCTTTATTCTGCATGGTATTTTGCATTTTGGCTACGCCGATGAGCACAGCTGAGAGATGTGCTATTCAGAGATGCGTTCATCTCTGCTTTGCATGGTTTTGTGCATTTTGGCTACGCCGATGAGGTCAGTTGGAAGATGTGCTATCCGGAGATGTGCTCATTTCTGTTCTGCATGGTGTTTTTGCATTCTGGCTACGTCGATGAATTGAGCTAGTAGATGTATAGCATCTGGAAATGCTGGTCATCGATGTACATATTGTACATACCAATATTGGTTTGAAACCGTTTTGAAATCGTTTGAGATGTTTCGAAGGCTTTCGAACTGTTTTGCAAGGGTTTTGCGCTGGACGATGTAGAGTTTGTGCATGGGCTCATCATTAGGTCATTAACCGTTGGGCCCGAAATGAAATGCTTTTGGGTTTTCTCCCAAATGATGTCTAAGCCATCGTTTGTCTGAGGCCGAGAGTGCCACTGTTGAGAGATGGTGACTGATGGGAGGAAAACCTACCTATATGGGATTTAATGACCTATCTTGATGAACTAATTAGTTTGAGGGTTTGTAGATCTAGGGATGTGTGAACCTGAAACCAAACAGTTTGGACGTCACTTATTTTGTGACTTTTGTCCAATGGAACTTTTGAAGCCATGTAGGTTTTGATTTACTTCGGGAATTGTTTAGACCTGAAATCGAGTTTCCTCTGCCGATTTCACTTTCAAGGAGTGTGAGTCAAGCAAGAGATACATCATAGCACAGCTACATGAACTGACGTGTTTCGTTTTGTGTGTTGTCTCGTCGCGCAAAAAGGGGCTTGAAGCTGTCGGAGTCGAAGGTGCTGGCTCATGGGATCATTCTTTGGGTTGAACGCTCTCACAGACCCTTGCTTTCTCTCTTCTTAATTCGTAGTGGTTTCCCTTGGATGCATGTCCCCTGTTTGTTTGTCTGTTGTTTGGTAGATGTGCTTTGGGTTCGTTATGTGCCAGGGTGCTCCGAGGGTTGTTTGGTTGATTTTGTCCTTCTGTCCTTTTCCTTCTCTCTGTCTGGATGCTTTTCTTTGCACTGGGGTGTGACTTCCTCTTCTTTGTGTCTCCTTCGCACTTTGGCACGACTGGGTTCCTCCCTCTCATCCGGCATGCTCCCCCTCCGCCCCTTGCCTTCCTTGTGTCCCCTGCCCCATTGCTCCCCCTCTTGGCTGCTCTGTTGAGGTTTGTGTCGTATTGAGGGGTGCTGACCACTTCTTAGGGTCCTGCTGTCTCCCTTGTCTCGGCCCATGCAGCAACAAAAATTGCACCCAAGATCGCCATCAACCACCGTTGTGCCTCCACAACTCGGCCTTACTGTTGTATCTCCCAGTGCGCCGGTGCAGCAACAAAGATTGCGCCCATGGATCCTCGCACTGGTGACGCTGTCGGTGAGGGCTAGTCAAACCTAGTACCATCGACCTCTGGGTGCCAGTGTGTCTGTGCATGGACTGTGATGTGCATTCACTGGCGCAGGGCTTCTGAGTTGCACCTAGTTGCTGCGACGCATGGGACCAAAGGCTTCGGCCCTGTGTGGGTATCTCCCTCTACACCATGTGTCGCACTACAGTTCAAGATTCCAGCCGCGGCTGTTGCTGGTCAAATCAGCTTCAACTTGAAATAAACGCTTCAACATATTTGCCACAATGAAGGGGCCAAAAAAGGGACCAAAACTGGACCCTCCAAGGGGGACCACTTTTGATTTCAAGGGGGTCCACTTTCTGACCCCTTTTTGAAACACGTTTCCTTTGCACGGGGGTCCAAAACTGGACCCTCAACAGGTTGAATCCGGTGCCTCCTTGGAGGTCCGGTTTTAAGCCCACATCCAATGTTGGATGAACCAGATGAAATTGCAGAACTGGGCCCTAGGGATGCAAGCACTTAGGGGTCATGCGTAGGAGCGTTGCTATATGTTGCAAGTGACTATGTTGAGCGTCAGTATACTATACGAGGCTTGTCCCAATGTATGTCACGACCATCTGTCCAAGCCCTTGCATGTCTGCAAAACTTGTGTATGTACTTGCTTGGATGCATTGACCACTGCGTCGTGCTCTCTTAGAAGGCCCACTTTGGCTTGCTGCATTACAATGGAAGTGGACTATACACCTTGAAAGTGTACTCAGAGAGCGATGGGGCAAAGCACTATTTTCTTTGGCAATCTGCTTTACTCAACGTTCAGGACACAGAAGGCTCTGGCTTTGAGCTCGGCCGAACCCGGGATCTACTCTGCAGCTGGTGCTTGTTGCGATGGTGTCCTGATGTACCACTGCCTTTCATTTGCTATTGGCTCAGACTTGGAGGTGAAGTTTCGACTTTGCATCGACAACGCTGCTGCGAGGGCATTCTTTTGCCGCTCAGGCATGGGGCATATAAGGCATATATGCCTTCGAATATTCTGGGTGCAATCGGAGGTGAAAGAAAGAACAATTTTGCGCATAGGACAAGTTACAAGAGACAATCCGTTAGATATTGGCACGAAACGTTTGACCAGCCTCAAAGTCACTTGCCAAATCCTTCTTGCATTCCTCAGCATTTGTCTCCTCGCCCGCGCTCTCCACAGTCACAGTGGCATCAACTGGCGATGCCAATTTGGCTTGTTTTTGTCCCTTGGCAGGCTTGCGAGAAGCTGGCCTTTTGGCGATGCCACGTCCGCGGCCTCGACCACGGCCTCGGCCCTTTGGCTCAGTGTCGAAACAAGGAGTCAAAATGTTCACACAAGTTGGAGCTTCCCCACAAGACTCAAAACGCTTGATGCGTATCTTGTTGCTTAGCGCCTTGGGCCTACCTGACGTGATGGCTATGGAAGTTGGCATGGTGGCATTGTGGCAGCTGTTTCTGTTCCTCCTTCGATGTTTTGGTGGCAGATGCTGTGCCCCTTGCTGATCACAGCGCTTTGAATTGCAATTGGTCTGATTTTCCACTTGAAACATGAAATTGACTTTTTGTAGGGCAAGTGCGCAAACCTTTCTCGAGACTCAATGCTCTACAAGGTGCTTGGGTTGTTGAAAGGATATAAAAAAAACAAAAATGTTGGGAAATGCAGGAAAATGGGAACAAAAATCAAAGAACATGGACCCAATTGTTGCAACCCCTGACACGACACATGCGATTTCACCTGAACCTGCGATTGGTACTGGTGTGATGAGGCTGAGATCGTCCTATATGAAGACCTGATGTATCAATTGGAGAACCAGATCGACGAAATTGCACACGTGTTCTTTGACATCTGGGAGAGAGATGAATGACACATAGAATGGTAGCAATAATCCATGGCCCTTTGCTTTGTGACAGTACCAGAATGTCTGATGGATTTGATGGAAAATTGACTATTTGAGTTTGGCGACGTTTGTCAATAGACAGTTTCGATGCGGGGTGAGAAACATTTACCCCAGTTCCATAGCAGTATATACATGGTTGCTTTTGACTGTTTGCACTCGGCATTGCATAGCATAGCTTTGGACCTTTCGCTCAGTTGGCATAGATGGCAACGCAATGCAACGCATGTACAAAGGCATGATCGAGAGGCGTTCATTGATCGAATAAAATCAACAGTCTTGTAAGAAATATGTATTCGCTGAACACCTGTAGTTGAAGTTGATGTAGTTGATGTATGTGACGTAGGTGAAATTGATTGGAATTGTTGCAGATGATGTAGTTGATGTATGTGACGTAGGTGAAATTGATTGGAATTGTTGCAGATGATGTAGATGATGTATGTAATGTAGATGAAATTGATGTAGATGATGTAGGTGATGTAGTGGATAGAATTAGAGATATAGGAAATGTAGATGATGTATGTAATGTAGATGAAATTGATGTAGATGATGTAGGTGGTGTAAACAATGTAGGAAATGCTATGTAGATGAAGTGAAAAATTGAATTTGGCAGCAGTTCTTTGGGAAAAACCTTTTGCAGGAACTTTCAGGAAAAAATCGTGCAACCAAACAATATTTTTCACGTTGGTTGGCAGTTGACGCTCGGCCAGGTGGCGGCTGATAGGGGATGAGGGCACATAAATAACAACTTCGAATAGGCCTGACATTGCGTAGAAAAAACGGCCCAGATGGGTGTGTCATTTGTTTGACAGGCGCTCCACATGAGTGCTGTGGGTGGAGCGGCAAGTGTGAAATTCAATGTATGCTGACGTACTTAACGCTACGCCCCACCGTTGCAGATTTGGGTTAGACCCAGCATTTAGGTGGAAAATATGGGGGTATGTATGTTGATTTGGATCGCGTTTAATTTTTGACGTTCTTGCACGTGTGCATTGTTGCGAATGTAATTGCTGGTTTGCCCTCATAGTGAACACAAATGATTGAGTTGGTTTGTTCTGACGAGAACAAATCAGGCATTTCCCTACGAAATCATTGCGGAAATGTTGGGGTGTTTTTGAGAAATGATTGCAAATTTGTCAGAATAAAAACCAACATTTTTGTTTTGAATGTTCTTCCAATGTCCCGGGCGCAGTGGCCATATTGGCAACACGGTTCGTATGCAAAAAAACAAACAAAACAAATAAACAATTGCCTAAAAACAAATTGAGTATTGTACATATAAAATCTACCGTGTCACCAGCTAACAACCACGGCTGCATTTTTTGAAAGAAAAGGTATTGCTCTTGCAGATCTGGTTGCGGTCGGCAGTGATTTATTTTTTGTGTGATGATGAACAAACTAAGGCATGATGTGCGTGTTTGGTTTGGATCAAGGTGATATATCCAAAATAACACACACGTGCATGCAGCAAACAGTTGAATTTGGTCAAGTCCTTCTTCGTTTTTGGTAGAACATTTTCAGAGCAGGTCACGATTTGTTAATTTCTTTTGCATCGTTGGAACATGGCGGCAAACCCGGCCCAAATGGCGCAGCTTGCGCAGCTGCTGACACAAACAGTTGCTGGGAATATGGAGGCAGGGAATGAACCAATTCCAGAATTGTTTGAAAAATTAGGATTTTTCAAGCAGATAGCATATATAGTTGCTGCAATCCTTGCATGTGATGCACCCTCACACAAGCCTGAATATTCAATTTAATTTAGTCGTTTCAAGTCACATCGTTTTCCATTGCAAACTAATTCCGGGTCCCTAAAAATCTGGCGAAATTGGGGCTAGACGCACACAAATGAATGGCGAATAACAGTGTTGAAACTAAATATAGTCACCATTGAGTCAGAATAGACCGTTGGGAATATCATATAAACCCCATTTTGTGATTTGGCAAAATTTCATCTACCAAACCGTTTTGTAAAATCTAAGTATATATAGTGATTGCGATTACACCAGCTTAAGACATTTTTTTACCTTCGCGGGGTTTGACAACCAGATTGGATCATTTGATACCAATTTTGGAATGCATGTGTTAAAACCCGTGTTACCATATTTTTGGGAATGAATGTATATTTACCAACTATTTTGGGGTAAACACCACACCAATTTCAACAGATTCAGGGATCATGATATACTTTATCTCCCTATTTTTATGGGAGGTATACGCCCAAACATCATTTTTTCGACAAACCGAAACCACGTATGAAATTATTAGCATCATATCGAATCAAATCAAATCATATCTATATAGATGAATTACATGGATCTATCTTTATGGAAAATGCAAAAAAGGATGGGATCCATCCTTTTGTAGATAATGTAGATATATCCTTGTAATAAAACTAATGTTTATTGATATATCTACATTATCTACAGATATCTGCCATAATGTTTTGTTATCATTATGTATCTATTCCATTGTTTCAAAACCATGGAACAAATGGGAGATCCCATGGTCCAAGTCTGACAGTCTCGTCTCTGTTCCAGGCCATGAGAGGTGCGGAGCAGCAGTTGCGAGCAGCAGAAGTGCAGCCAGGGCCCGGAGACCTGGAATTCATGGCCATTTCATGGCGATTTTATGGTGATTTTATGGGGATTACACTCTGATTGAACATTTTTTCTTGGGTTTTAACTCTCAAAACTATGGGGATATTATTGATGAATGTTTTCGTATGTAGTAATGCTTAGTATCTCAGTATATCCTGATCATCAGAAGTTTGCAATACCTTGATGACCCAGTGGACATCCAGCTGGGATTCCCCTTTCTGTATTGGGGATTGATTCATAATCCATGGGAATCCTCATGAAAGCAACCAGTATTTTGGGGATTTGCTAATAGCTTCTTGACACTTCTAACGCTATTCAAAGTGGTCAAGTTCAAACATAGACGACGTATTCAAGTTTCATCCAAGTGGAATTCAGAACTTTTTTTTTTTTGGTGGAGATTTTGTGGCGCAATTTGAAAGTTTTGACACGTTATACACGTTCAAGTTCCTGCTACGTGTAGCCCCGAGCCGTAACGTTGCCCAGATTTGGCCTGGTTTTGCTGGAACTCCTGCGTTCTGGCAGCGTGGATGCTTCTGCCAGGACGCAACAGCTTTTGTTGCTCTTGATGTTTTGAATGTGTTGAATGTGTTGAATCCTTCCACTTGTAATCACTATTAATCACTTGTATCACTGTTTTCAGCAAGCACTTTGTGAAATCGTCCTGCAGGCAAGCTGGGGCAATTTATTTCAAGAATTACATAAAGCGGCAGTGGTGTGGGCCTCGTTCCCTTTTGCTTCACCCCTGCCATGCGGTTTGCGTCGCTGTATTCCATGGCAAAAAAACAGTTTTACTGTAGAACACACGTCAACATGATCCTATCAAAGACACTGGAGAATGTATCGTCGATTCGAGTATGTCACTTGAGACCTCTCATGCTTCACTTTTTGGCTTTAAAACAAAGAACCACAAGTTTTCCAGCTCAGGTGTGTCGAGGGTGCCGGCGGTGGCATATCATCGTCTGACCGACAGGTGGATCCCAGCCAAGCTCAGTTGGTGCAAAGAAACGATTACTGCCATGCCTCGTTGGTGAATTGCAACGTGAATCCTTCGCAAAATTTGGGATGCTTCTCCTTGGGGTTTCAGGCGATCAAACAACACATCCTCTCCTTGATGCTCCAAGCACCAAAACAGGTGCAGGTGAGTGCCCCAGTGGCCCCCAAAGTGACCCCAGTGGCCCCAGTGGCCGTGGGCTTTCCAGACCTTTTCTGTGACATCCAAACCGTCAAAGAGATCAATTTTTTTCCGGCTTTGGGGAGCTCTTGGTGGATGAACTTTGAGATGAAACATTGTGAAAAGAATGTGAAAAGATATGAAACGATACACATCATTTGGGGAATGTCTTCTGTGAAGCAATTGGAAGATGAATTCGATTGATCTTTAGACAAAAACCAGGCCTGCGCCAAGTCTGTTCAGGTGCAGCTTTCGGCTGGGCTTGAGGAGATTTCGATCACTGACTACCCAGCAGTCATTGCCTCAAGGGCATCACAAGTCGGTATGGCTCATGTCGTTCTGGGTGCGAAGTGGATTGTCGTTTTGCATATTTTGACGACCGCATTTTTTCCATGGTTATATACTGTATATATATATACATATTATATATATATTGTGGTTGTTCCAAGCAATTTCCATCTTCGACCAACCAGCGGACTTGAAGATTTTGTTGGGCGATGATTTTGAGCCATAGCCGATGACATGTCGATGTGACCTGGCTCAGGAGTGGCAGTCGCTGCTACCTGAGATGGTTCAGCATTTGAAGACATCTCAGGAGCAGTGCCGAGCTTTGATTTGGCTCCCAACATGAGGGATTTACTATACTTTTAATTTTCCTTTATTGGGGAAGATGATAAACCAGATTTTTTTCGGTATCCCGTTTTCAGGATCCACTTCTTTTGTCATCTTCAAGTGCAGCTCCACAAGCCTTCTGCTTGACCTTTCATTGGATGATTTTTTCAGGACATGGCTGTCCTGAAGGGAACCATGCAGACAGCTCATACAGTCTTCCTGAAGTCTTGTCCTCAATGACCACATGGGCCGCTGGCCATCAGCTGACTTCAGCTCTCCACTGTAGTTGGATACATCAGATCCCATTGAGGTTCAGAGCCCAGGCAAGATCTGAAGACTTGCTGCGGGAAGTCAAGTGCCCTGTGGTCCAATCCTGGGCTCTCCTGGGAACGGAGGACATCAGTTGTACTCGTGTCCCCAGAGCAGACCCTTGTGCCAGGTACACGGTCACTGGATTTCAAGAAACCCACTTGGCCGTGTTCACTGCTGCTTGGGCTGAAGAGCGGATGGTAAAGTGGTGTGATTGGTGCCATTAAGTAAGGCTTTTTATGATCTATGGAAGGGTGCAACAGTATATCATATATATATATATCTGGACAATTTAAAACGCCGTCACCGACGTCACCCCGAAATAACGAACAGAAATAAGCTCATCACCATACAACAATATGTATATATATATATGTATAATATATATATATATGTATAATATATATATATATGTATACATATATATATATATGTATATATATATATGTATATATATATATATGTATATATATATATATGTATATATATATACATAAAAATAAATATACATATACATATTATAGATATATAGATATTTATTCCCCTCAGAAAGCAAGTTCCTTGCTTTCTAGCTTTTCTATGGACAGCTACCCAAAAAGCTCCTAGTTTGTCAAAATAGGAAACTGAGGTTTTTCAGCGTGCTCAGAAGCAAGTTCCCTTACTTTCTAGCTCATCTATGGGCAGCTACGGCTGGAAAATTCCAGTACATATTTGATAATGCAGTGCATTTGATAATACAAATAATAATACTAATTGTAATAATTTGAATAATTAAAATTCTAATAACAATCACGATAATATTGAAATTAATGATAACAATAATGAAAATACCATGTAATAATGATGATGGGAACAATTCATGATCATAACAGCGATGAGAATGGTAATAAGGACAATACTCACAGTCTCATTGTGAATGGCTGTACAACTGCAATTCCTAACAGACCTCGTCTGTTGGACCTTCCCAGTGGCTTGACAGCGGCGCAGGCGACTTGCACGCGGGTCTTGGGTGGACTGCCGGCTGATCAGTGGAAGACTGAGTTTGAAGTGGTCCTGGTTGTGGGAATGATTGAATTGAAGAGCCAAACATATGGATGATTTAATGCATTTTAATGCCAAAACGACATGCTTTTTGTGTACCCAAACTTGATCCATGAAGCCAAGGTTAGTGGCTCATTTTGAGCTTCTGCTGGCAACCATAGGTGCGGAACCTCAGGATTTAGGGGCTTCATTTTGTGCATTTTCGGGGTCCGCAGACGATTTGAACAAAAAATATACAGGAAACAACGCTTTCCAAAGCTCCAAAGAGTGGGACCTTGGCAATTCAACCAATTTTGGGACAATGGACGATGGCAACGATGGCAATTGTTCCTGAGGAGCTTTTTTCTCTCTCAATGTGATCGACCTTCCTGAGTTCTTTGAGGATCACAGAGAGGAGCCGCCCATTTTTGGTGGATCAAACATGGCTGATTTTTGGCTGTGGGTATACATGCATATGCATTTCTGATCATCTATTTGTGTATATATACACACACATCTCTCTCTCTCTATACATGTATGCATGCACTATAGATTTATATACACATATATGTATATGATTTTGTATATTCATGCGTATACACATATAATACAGTTGTTTATGTATATATATATATGGTGTATGTACAATGTATCTACATCATATGAAATACGCTCTATGTACATGTATGCGTATACATACATCAACTACATCACATCACATCATATCACATCACATGGTATGACATTACATTGTGTACATAAACGCAGATGCCTCGAGTAATTCTGTGTAATTTTGATATTTGTCCACACTCCTGCGTATCTCCCAAGTGACATCATTTTTTTGGTCCCTGTCAGACTGCAGACCGCATCAGACCGCATCAGACTGCAGGAGTACTTCAGGGGCTTTTTGGAGCTTCTGAAATTTCAGCACGAGGATGGGATCCCATGGCCATGGCACCATATGGCACCCATGGCAGATGCATCCCATTCGAACCATTCGACTGGCAGGCTGTGGCTGGTCAAGGTCAACAAGGGCTACTTGAACAGGTCGGAGATCCTTTTTGTCCAGTACCACATGATGTCTTATCATTTGGCTTGGGTCAAAATTGGGTTCCCAACATTTGATGGTTTCCCACTAAACATGGCAAAAATCTGAGGTGCCCAGGATGTTGATTTTGATCCATGACGGCTAAAAGTTTCGCTCTCCTGTTGGCAGAAACATTCGTTTTTGTTTGTGGCAGCCTTGCTAACTGTGGGGAGGTCAAGGGGGCCATTTGCGAATGCTTCGTGCTGTATGCAGAAGCTTGGCTGCAGATGAGGTCGTTTAAGTTTAGGCGCTGTCAGTTGCAAAGCTGAAGAGCTGTTCGTTGAATTTCCACCCAGGAAAAGTACCAAGAAGAGTCTGACACCAAGATGCACATCTGTGCATGGGCTAATCGGCACTTTGTGCAGCAATGTCAGGTAGGAAGGATGCAGAAATGAATGGGTTGACCCCTCAAACTCTACTATTTCATCTATTTCATGGTCTATTTGATTAAACAATTCTGTGGTTTTCCCTCATTTTCTGGGTAAACGTTGGTTGGACAGGTTCATAACTGCTAATTGCTAACAGCATTGTGGCCCGTGGCCATTTCTTGGGGAACATCACGCCCAGCTGGAAGTGACCAGGTTCATGCCGTTCCTACTCCGCTGTGTACAGGAGGCCATGCTCAAAAGTGGCGCTTGGATGACTAGGAAGATACTAAACAAATTTAGAAGTTATAGAAGTGTACAAGACGGCTAAATCAGAGGAACTGGGATGTGTATGGTTAAAGCAGAAGTCACGTGGGTTTTTGCCGTACAGTGGTGACACCTTCTACAGTCGAGACATGCAAACTATGGGGACCAAGACCCTTGGAAATCTGATCCAGGTATGGACTCTCTTGGTTGGATTGGACCAGCAGGAGCCCTGAGCCAGACTTTTGGGTTGCCGGGGACGGCACCAATCGACGTGTCAACCTATCCCTGGCAGGAGAAAAATGACCAGCTGGTTGCCAAAGGCATCCAATTCTTGTCGCACCTGTCTTAGAGATCCTGTGGTGGAGTTAAGATTCGGTTTGTTCAATTTTCACCATCCCTACTTTGTGGTTTACATGGGATGACTTACAATGGCCCCAAGAATCAACCCAAACTCAGCAAGTGTCTAAACTTCGAAACTTTAGACTTTTCCCGAATGCGTAGCAAGGGTTCCCGTTTCACTCTGGGGGTCTGGGGGTTGAGGGTGTGTTCGCTCGACGTTGCGTTCACGATCGCAACCGTTCGCAACCGTTCGTGTGAGGACCCGTATGGCCGTGCCTATGGGAAGTTCTGCAGAGGTGGTCATTTTTGGAGGTTTCAGACGTGTCGTTGCTTCGTTTCGCGTGGCAGGCGTGGCACTTCGTGACATTCAGACGTGTTTTGCAACGTGTTGAAAATCGTTTTGCGTGGCAGGCGCAATACTTTTGTGACGTTTTCAGAAGATGTGTTGCAGTTTTCGTGGCAGGCGCAGCACTTTGGACGTGTCCATTGTCATTTTTCGTGGCAGGCGCAGCACTTTAGACGTGTCCTGTTGCGTGTTTTTTACGAATCGCATTGGCAGGGCTGCGTCAAGTGGTGACAAGGTGCAAATTCCGTGGCAAGCGTGGCATTTTCTGACATGTGCTGAAAATTGACGGAAGCCTCGCACGAAACATCGATTTTGAGGTTGCAAATTTTCAGGTTCTAAGGAAAACTCGTAGGAAAACGTCGATTTGAAGCTGCAAAGTGTGAAAAATGGAGGAGGTCTCGCACGAAATGCTCGTTTTGGTGCTCCCACCTGTCTCTTCTCGCGTGTCTGGTTTTCCCGTGGCCTCGCCGTGTCTATGGGGGAAGCTGCAAAACTTGTCTTTTTGTCGTGCTGCCAACTGTGAAAATTGCCGGAAGTCTCGCACAAAATGCTGGTTTTTCTGCATCCACGTGTCTTGTCTCGAGTCGCTTGTTTTTCTGTGGCGTCGCCGTGTCTATGGGGGAAGCTGGAAAACTTGTCCTTTTCGAATGTTTCCAAGCAGGTTGTCATGTTGTTTTGCGTGGCAGACGTGGCAGTTTTTGACATTCCAACCTGTTTGATGATGTTCACAAAATTGCAAAATTGGAGGAAGTCTCGGACGAAATGCTGTTTTTTCTGCATCCACGTGTCTTGTCGCGCGTCTCTCGTTTTCCTGTGGCGTCGCCGTGTCTATGGGGGAAGCCGCAAAACCTCTCCTTTTCGAATGTTTCCACGCAGGTTGTCATGTCGTTTTGCATGGCAAGCGTGGCACTTTGTGACATTCCAACCTGTTTGATAACGTGTCGAAAATGTCAAAATTGGATGAAGTCTCGCATGAAATGTTCGTTTTTCTGCACCCACGTGTCTCGTCTCGAGTCTCTGGTTTTCCTGTGGCGTCGCCGTGTCTATGGGGGAAGCTCCGCACTCCACACTCTACACTTTACACTCCGCACTCCACAATTTACACTTTAGACTCCACACTCTACACTTTACACTCCACACTTTGCACTTTACATTCCTCACTCCTCACCTGAGACTTTACACTCCACACTCCACACTTTACACTACACTCTACACTTTCCAATCCTCACTCCTCACTCTACACTTTACACCCCGCACTCTACACTATACACTCCACACTCCACACTTTACACTACACACTCCTTACTCTACACTCCACACTTTACATTTTACACTCCACACTCCACACTCTACACGCCACACTCTACGCTTTCCACTCCACACTCCACACTCCACACTCTACACTTTACACTCCACACTCCACACTTTACACTTTACACTCCGCACTCCACACTCCACACTCTACACTCCACACTCCCCACTTTACACTCCACACTCCACACTCTACACTTTCCACTCCACACTCCGCACTCCGCACTCCACACTCCACACTTTACTGTGCACTCCACACTCCACACTTGATACTTTACACTCCTCACTCCACACTCCACACTTTACACTCCTCACTCTACACTCCACACTCCACACTCTACACACCACACTCTACACTTTCCACTCCAGACTCCACACTCTACACTTTACGCTCCACACTTCACACTCCACACTTTACACTCCACACTTTACACTCCTCACTCCACACTTTACACTCCACACTTTACACTCCACACTCTACACTTTACACTGTTTACACTGTTTACACTCTACACTGTACACTCTACACTCCACACTCTCACTTTACACTCAACGCTTTCCACTTTACACTCCACGCTTTCCACTTTACACTCCTCACTCCACACTTTACACTCCACACTTTACACTCCACACTCTACACTTTACACTCCACACTCCACACTCTACACACCACACTCTACACTTTCCACTCCACACTGCAGACTGGTAACAAGGGAAACATGTACAAGACTGTTCAAATAAACTATTGCAGAAAGGTATTGTGCGTGACTGCATATCCATGTGTTTTGACATCTGTACCATTAACATACGTGTGTGAGCATTCGGGTTCGTGGGCTTCATCTTGTTTTTATTTTTTGGTTGGGTTCGCACGTGCGCGCGGACCCAACCCCAAAAAAGGTTTCAACTTTTTTCGAAAGGAAATCCACTGAGTAAGAACCTCCTCTTTGGCAATGGTTTAATTGGATAGCTGCAGCCGAGGTCCACAGCAGCTACTCAGTGGCCCCAGTCTCCCTTTGAGGACTCGTGACTCAGAATATCGCAAGGTACAACCCCCAAATCCAGTGTTCTTTACTTGTCATATTATTTCATATTATATATATACACATACATATATGCCTTGGGATGTTTTTGGCAAGCTGATTGCTCCAGCTGCATCTGGCTCATGAGAGGTATCTCGTCGGGACTTGGCCGGCGGATCTTCTTTAGCACTGGCTTAGAAAGCTTTAAGCGTGCTTGATAGGCCCCCCAACGGATCCTTTAGCCCTGTGTGAGGCATTGACTGGCAAAGGCCAGACCTTTGAGTGGTTTTCCTTTGCTGCTGGATTGGTGTGCGGAGTGGTGATCTTCGCCTTTGTGGAATTGGTGGTGACATTGCGCTGGCTGCTGGTGTCTCTCATGCTCTCATACAACCGGCTCCAACTGCAGGCGAGTCCCCTGGCCTAAAGAAGGGACGGCCTCTCTACAAACTGCTGTGATTTTTGCATCAACAGGTTACTGATCTGCAAGATCAAGTTCAGGCATCCAGTCTTGCTGGTCTTCGAGATCAAGTTCAACGTTTGGAGAGGCGTGCGCGAGCTGCGAGATCTTCTACTTCAAGGGGAAGCTCAGAGGCCAACGAGGAGGCAGAATTCGACGTGCTCTCCCAGCCATCGTGCCGTTCTCCGGCGCCTGCTACACCTGCCTCAGTGGTGTCTGAGAGCCCAACTCCTGGTGGACAATCAGTGCCCAACGTGAGGCCATTGCTGATCAGATCGGCGCTTTCTTGCTGCGAGCGCTGAGTGGCGGCCCCAAGCTCTTGCGGGCGACTTCAATGCCATGGATGCATGGTTGGAGGAGAAGTCAGCGTTCACTGTGTTTGACCATTTGCCCTACGATGAGCTGCTTGGCCCTGCAGAGAAGGCCCTGGCGCCACGGAAAGCAAAGCAGAAGCCACCAGCCAGGCGTCGCCAAGATGATGAGGATGCCTTGAAAGAGCTCCAGCCTTATACCACTTACAAAAGCAGCGGTGTCGAGGCGTTTGTGCGGCAAGTTTGCTGCAGAAATCAGAGGAAGTCGCTTGTGAGGCTGTGAGACCCCAAAGGGTGTGAGACCCCCAGCTCCTCAAAGCCCGGTCTGCCCAGACCAACCGCCTTGCGCTTCCTCTTCAGTCAGTCCTTTTGTAAAACTGCTGGAACCCTTGCCCAGGTGCAGTGAACTTTAGTCGCCCCGGGGCTTTGGATCTGTTTTCAGGCTCCTTTGGGACGGCCAAAGAAATGGAGCCTGTGGCGCACCCTGGGTCCTCATTTTTGATTTGAAGCGCAGCCAGTCAGAATATTTGCCCGCAAATGAAAACCAAGACCTCATCTTGGATTTGCTTGGGAAAAGGCCTTTTTTGGCTGTTGTTATGGCCCCGGTTTGTCGGAGCTTTTCCAGAGCAGTGACATCTCCAGTGCGCAGCAGCCGTTTTCCTCGTGGGTTGCCAAACCTGACCATGACAATGCGAGAAAAGGTGTCAGAGGGCAATCAGATGGCAGAATTTTTAGAAAAGGTCATAAAAGAGTGCGAGAGGCTGTTGTTAGCTTATTGGGCCGAGAATCATGATGGTTCCTTTTTGTGGGCCTTGAAAGGATGGAAGCGCTTCAAGGAAAGCGACAGTCCACATGTTTTCCGTTGCTCTTTTTGCAGATTTGGTAATTGCTGGAGAAAGAATACCCGCTTTGCCAACAACACTGCGCTATAGGGGATACGCATGCTATGCAAATGCCTGCGACGTGAACATGTGAGGTTGAGAGGATACAGCCGCTTGCATGGCATGCAATGGACCGAAGTGGCGGAGCTTTATCCGCGTGGCTTGAGTCGCCTTTTAGCTCGAGCGACAGCAGTCAAAGCCAGGTGGCTACACAAGGACAAACTCAACATTCTTGGCTGCTGCAGGAAACCCTGGCCCTTGCAGGGCAACGAAGGCCACTTGGCGGCGTGACACTCTTGAAAGCAAGCCGCTTCTGTTGCCAGCCACCATAGCCCTTGAACAAAGACTCCTACAAGCTTTCCTGTTCTGGTGCCACACTGATTTCCGAGCGGTAGCGCTTGAAGAACTTTTCAACAAAGTGCTGGAAGTTGTAGCGTTGTTGTTGCAATGCTATGGGGACATGATGTTTCAGGCTGGGGGTGCTCTCAGTAACCTGCGACCCTTGCTTTTGGCAGCACAAAGATGGAGGCCTAGAGTACGTCCGTTTATGCAGCCGTCTTGGGAGATGTTTTCGCGGTGGAAGCACAAGAACCAGTCAAGCACCGTGTCCCTTTACCTGAAGCAGTCGTCAAAGCTATGTGCACACTAGGCTGGTTTCACCAGTGGTAGGGGTGGGCTTTAGCAACTGCTCTGCCTTTTTATGTAGGTCAAAGACTAAGACTGAAGTGCTGCAGGGAAGACCTTCTTTTCCCATCCTTCTTGGCTGAAGATGGCTATGTTCCTGTCTTCCTGCGTTTGCGCTTCTTCAAGAGCATCAGAAACCCTGCTCATGTGCAACACCTGAAGATTTCGGACGCCACCAAGTACATTCTTTTGCATTTGGTTTTACGTAATCTGGATAGCTGTTTGACACCAACCCCTACCAGTTTCGCAAGCGCTGGAACCTCTTGCTGCAGTTGTTAGAGATTCCTGAATCTGCCGCCCTGAGCCCAGGTGGATTTCGTGGTGGATTTGCTGTGATGGCGTACAGAAACGGCAGATCTGTGCAAGATATCATGTGGTGCATGCGATTGCGATCGCAGGTGACCCTGGAGCCTTACTTGCAAGAAACTGCTTCGCTTAATGCACTCACAACAAGCTAGAAAAGCACTAGCGGCTGCCGCAAAAGTTTTCCTTTTCTCCCTTCAGTGAGCAGCAGCTAAACCAGCAGGAGGAGATACCGTGCAACTCTGCTTTGCTTCCTTGCAGAGGCGCGCCAAACTTCGCCTGGCTGGCCCAGCCAATAGCGGATAGCTCTTGATGCGGTGCTCTTGTGGCATAGCGCTACCTGTTTGAAGAGCGCTACGACGACCTCTCGGTCATTCTCGAACTTGATGGCCGCTGCCTGTTGTGGCCACAGAGCCCACAAACTTGGATGGGCAGCTGCTGAAAGCCGCTGACACCTGAGAAATCGTAGTGGACAACGACATGCCTTGGGATGTTTTTGACATGCTGATTGCTCCAGCTGCATCTGGCCCGGGCCCTCCTCCCCAGCTTTTGCTGCCCTGGATAGCTCTGCTTGATGCGGTGCTCTTGTGGCATGGCGCTACCTGTTTGAAGAGCGCTACAACGACCTCTGGCAGCTGCCTGTCGTGGCCACAGAGCTCACAAACTCGGATGGGCCGCATGGAGGAAAAGAAGCTGCTGAAAGCCGCTGGCACTTGATCAGTCGTAGTGGACAACCCAAAAAATATATATATATATTTTTAATTTTCGCACATCACAGACTGATGCTTTAAGAACGTGTCAAAACGACACCAGTTTTAGGCAACATCGCAGCGTGGCCAGGATCCCAATGTCTTGTCCGGCATCTGCGAGAAGGTGCGTTGGTCTGAGAATGGGGCGCGCAAAAATCCGACCATTTATGGTTGGGATACCGGCCGAGATACACATTTATAATCCACATAATATATATATATATACATAGATGTAGATAGATGTAGCGGGTATCCCACAATCAGAGTATCATTATCACATCTTTATCCATCTTTCGACAAACGCAGGTGGTGTTTCCCAACGTTCTGCTGCGTGATTCGGATGTCGAGCTCTTCGAAGACAATCCTTTGGAGCTGGGGACTTAGTTGTGGAGAGATTGTTGGCCCCTGTCAATCCTTCTCAGGGGCCTATTCCCCCACTTATTGATGTTGGCAGGGTACCGTTTGGGGCATGGATATCCTTAGATTTTCATAAGGAAATCTTGTTGTCCAAGGTCAGTTTGTGAGAGCAGGGCGCCACCGATTTTAACATTGGGCACAGCTGTTATTCGAAAGACAAAAAAAACAAAAAATGTCAGAAACACCTTAGAATCAACAGGCAGATCATTTCCAGCACTGCTGATGCAAGGTATGTGCGACGCGACATGGAAGCAGCTGACCAGGTAGGGGTACCTGCTGATTTTGAAGACTATGCTCTCTTCGACTTTGAAGGTTATTCTTTTTTTGCGTTATACCTGAAAAAAAGTGGCATGGCCAAAAAAACATAGGACGGAAGAGCTTTGTCACATACACACAAGCAGACTGAACTTCCGGTGACCGCTTACACTTGTTGATGCAGGAAACTCGGCGGCGAAGCTCCATGGACCTAGTGAAGGTTGGGGTCCGAGGTTTTCATTTTCATTTTTTGAAATTTTCATCATTTCTTAGAATCTCAACCAAAATTCCCAGCGGATCGAGGCGATGGGCCGGGTCAACGAAGCCAAGGCGCCTCAAGGGATGCGTTGTAGAGTGTGCGAACGCTTCGAAACAGGAAGGTCATTTTGGTGCAGTCCCATCTATCTTAATAGCCCTATCCATTTCTCCATTTAACAATATGAATATCGTATAACAACGTCAAACAATACAAGATATATAAACAATGAACCAGCCCCATCTCCTTGAAATTTAAAACCATGGTCACTCAGATCCTGGAATCATATTGGGCCAGTGCAGGTCACTGAGATCCTCATAGGCTACGTCAAAGCATTGATGGAGAAGGCAGCCGGTCTCAGTCAAGATCAGGCACGTACATTTCGTTTTTTCCCTAACATGGGGGACCCCAAGTTGTTGTCCAAGATTGGTCATTTGAAATGGAGAAACCAATGGTTGGGGGTACTTGTGGCTAGGGTCTTAGATTTATTGAAATTCGGCATTTGGGATTCCTAGTTGGAATACATGTACATGTTCCCATTCCAATTCCAAAGTGTAAATGTTTGAAGGTCGTTTCTGCATAAGACAGATAGCAGCCACATTGACATTCTGTGGAGATGTTGATGACGAGGCATCACAAGCTGCTGCTGGACAGGCAGAGCGTTTCAAGGCGGGGCCACCAAAGATCGTGCTGTAAAAAGTAGTAAGTGGTGTACAAATCGCCCTTGATATCTCCTATACATCTCCTATTTCAAATGAGCTAGTCAAAGGAGTTAGTAAATATCCAGTGCATGAAAGGTGTATGGTCCTATGGTATCATCCAGTTCTTATGATTCCCAATGATATTCCCATTTCCCATTGGTACCGGCCAGGATGCCTGCATTTTTCTGTGTATCGCCATGGCGGTGCGGGAGCAAACCCAGAGAGAAGGCCGGGGGTTAGCGGCCATTGGGGATGGTCAGTTGGATCCCAATTTCGGGTTTGATATCGTTTGATATACTGTAACTGTATATACATTATACATTATATATATGTATGTATATTTTATATAAATGATTTTCAGATTATGTAGTAACCCTAGAAAAAAGAACAGCAAGTAACTTATCATTATTCTGAGCTAGGACTCAACATTTCTATCTTGTTTGGGGTTGCTATATATAGATTGGTTGTGAGTTACAGGCTATGCCCGTATACACTAGCTGGGATCGATGTCCCCAAGATGTGGGTAGAGGATCTCCAAAAAATGATTGGGTTAACGTGCTTGACATTCAATTTTCCCACTGCTGAAGACATGTCTCTTAACTTAATCAACAGGCGGTTGATATATTGATATACCGCATATTTTCCCAATCCCAGTCATTGGACCATTGGATGGCCATGACCATCCCTGTCTCCGGCAGGAGTGACTGCGACGAATCAGAACGTCAATGTGTCGCTTGGAGCAGAAGGGATCTGCTGTATCTTACTGGGAGTATATATATATATGTATGGCCCAGTGTCTGCTAGTCCCCCCTCCCCCGAGATGGTGATGGTCCCTATATGTATATGGATATACTACAAGATTATACAAGCATGTGTGTATGTATACGTATATACAAGTTATATATATATATATATATACCAGTAGTACTACACAAGGCGGTGGCGGAAGTTTCAAAGATAGGAAACTATAGGAGAGGTGAGTTGTTGTGATGGATGGATGGCAGAGCGAATCCACTGATGGACCGGAAGGTGGTTGGAGTTGTGCTTTTTGGAGTGGTTGAAGTGGTCACCTCACACACAACTAGTGGATGTAGTGTGGTGTAGTGTAGTGTAATTGTAGTGTAGTTGTAGTTGGAGTTGGAGTTGTAGTAGTTGTAGTTGTAGCTGTAGTTGGAGTTGGAGTTGGAGTTGTGTTGTGGTGTAGTGTAGTGTAGTGGTAGTTGTAGTTGTAGTTGTGTTGTGGTGTAGTGTAGTGTAGATGTAGTTGCAGTTGTAGTTGTTATATGTACACATATGTAAATATATATATATATATATATATACACACATGTATATGTATATGTATATACATATATATATCTGTAAATGTATATTATATATTTGTATCTATATATGTATATAAATTTACATATATATATATACATATGTATATGTGTATGTATATATATATATATGAATAATATTATATATATATATATTATATATATGATATATATAATACATATGATATATATGATATATATGATATATATGATATATATGATATATATATGATATATATGATATTTATTTGATACATATATGATATATATGATATATATATATGATATATATGATATATATGAAACATATGATATATATGATATATATGATATATATGATATATATGGTATATATGATATATATATATGATACATATGATATATGATAAATATAAATATATATATATATATATATATTATATGATATATATATATGATATATGATAAATATATATATATATCATTTATGATATATATGATATTATGATATATATATGATATATATGAGATATATATATATATATATGATATATATGATATATATGATATATATGATATATATGATATATATGATCTATATATATATATGATATATATGATATATGATATATATGATATATATGATATATATGATATATATGATATATATGATATATATGATATATATGATATATATGATATATATGATATATATATGATATATATGTGATATATATGATATATATGATATATATTATATATATATGAGATATATATGATATATATATATGAGATATATATGATATATATATATGATATATATATATAAATATGATATATATATATGTATATATGATATATGATCTATATGATATATATATGATATATATATGATATATATATGATATATATGATATATATGATATATATGATATATATGATATATATGATATATATGATATATATGATATATATGATATATATATATGATATATGATATATATATGATATATATATAAATATGATATATATGTATATATATATATATATATCATATATGATCTATATGATATATATATATATATGATATATATATATGATATATATGATATATATGATATATATGATATATATGATATATATGATATATATGATATATATGATATATATGATATATATGATATATATATACATGATATATATATATATATATGATATATATATGATATATATATATATATTATATGATATATATGATATATATATATATATACATGGACATGTTTCGCATAATTTGCAGTACCAGACTCAAATCGCTGATTTCGGAGCTTTTGAGTTGACCCTGCGAGGTTAGACTTCTTCTCATCCCTGGTGGTTCCAGAGTTGACCTCGGAACCGTTGGTTGGGAGCCCAGTGATGGGCCAAAATTCGGTGCCCTCCAGAATGGGGTTGTGAAAAATCATCGGGTATACTGCAGAATGTCAAATTTGATGGGAAAAAATATCTAAGATAATTTTTAGGAATTGCGGGGGGCCACTTTCAGGCGAACCCAAATGGGACTGACCAAAGCACATGTGGTTTTGCATGGTCTTGAATTCTCATCCATCCACATGTGGCATAGCCCGTGCCCCAATGTGTTTGTCTGAAATTAGGTACCCTTACAAAATCCAACGGTTCCTCAGAATTTTTCCAAATAGTGGTCGTTTTGTTGTATCGCCTATTCTGTGCATAGATGATACATATGTATATATATATACATTATGTACAAAATGGGAGTTGCAATTCTTTGGGACACAGCTCAACAGATCCTATGGGTTCGGCAGTTTGACCGGTCGGCTCTGAACCTCTGTTGCTGTCCCTGCCAGTCACAACGGCCTGTGCTTCGAGCATCATGCCTAAAGCCGAAGCACTCAGAAACGGCACAGCGAAGCGAGATATCCATAAGGAATGTCCAGGGCTTTGAAACCCATTGGACAAGGAGCCTTAAGCATATAACTTCACACTGCCAGTTGTGTTGTGTTACTACCAATGTTTTTTTGGTGGTTTGGCTGGCCAGTTCGGACTGAGGTTTGTGACAGTCTTCAGGAATCAGCTTCCCAGGGAGCAAATCAGCTGAGACCTCACAGGATTGCCTTTGCTGATGAGTTTGCCGTGAGTTGGGCTTCATCGGCCTTCATCGGCCTTCATCCCCACTGAGGCCAGCTTCTACCTGCGATCTGCCCGGCCCCTACCAACTGCCAACATTTTGCGTTGCCGACTCCGGATGGCCCGAGGCAAACACATCACAGCAGAAAGTGCCGTGGCACTGTCCTCAGTCCTGGAGTTTAGAGGATGATGGGTACATGGTACATGATGGGTATAGGGGTGTTTTTTTGGGGCCAATGGACCCACCAAAGTCTCGTCATTTTTGGCAATTGAAATCATCCAGGTTTTTTGGGGTTTGATCATCTTGAGCCATATGTTCCAACCCAGGATCACACCTTTCAGCCTTTCCTGCAGATGATACTTGCCATTGCGCAGTTCCAACGTAAGGTGCACACCTATGCAGCCATCTGCATCGAGAAGCTGCTGCGAGTCAAGGACAAAACTCCGCAGGCAGCGGCTTGCGGATGGTCATCCCCCCATTTTCACAGGGGTGATCACCCATTGCAAGGAATCACTAGTGATGGTGAGATGAGCGTGAACCCATACACCATGTTTTGACCATCGCACATGTGGGAGAATTTACTGTTAAGCGGAAAGGATTACTTCAGTGATGGTTGGAACTTCAAGCACTTCAAGAACTCATCGTTTGATAGCTGATGAACTCCCTTACTGATGACTCGACAGCTTGGAACCTTTCGTCACTCTATATTTGAGGAATGGGCGAAGCCCGGCTCGAGCAGATTGCTAACCCGAAACGGGTTTGTAAATCAATTTGCAGGTAGTGCCAACAGCGTTTCACATGTTTGAAGCGGCTTGAAGTATATCATGATGATATCCAAGAAGAGGACCTTTACTCCTCACTCATCGCACACTTTTGAGTGTGCATGTGGAACAGATGGTTGTCGAGATGTGCCGGAAGCTCAGTTATTGATTCCACCACTACCTCTTGGTAAAGGGACGCCAGCAAGTGGCAATGCAAACGGTTTTCACTGTCAATGCAGATAATGAAGCTGCAATGCAACTACTGTCCTGCAGTTCAAGATGGAATGGGACAAACTAAGTTTCACTTGTTCAAGACTTGGCAGCTCTGCATGAGCAGTTTCGTGGGCTCAAAGGGTTGTCAGCTGCATTGAGGTCGCATCAAGGAAGGGGCTATCTTTGTCGGAAATGTCAGCGCTCAGATTATGATGTCAAAACGCAACAGCCCTGTGGAGCCTGTGGAGTGATGGTTTCAGCCTTCGACATCACACAGAATCCACCCACAGCCTGTGGAGACCCAAAGCAGGCAGCAGCGCTTGTTGTCGTTTTATTTTGGGATAAAGTATGATAACGTATTTGCAATTTTTTCGCGATTCTTGAAGAAGCGAAACGTCGATCGATTTCTGAGTGCACAGTTCCTCACAATTGCAATTCCTTCTAGGTGGTCATTCTGATGCGACACGGTGATCGAACTCCTGTACGCGACAAATTTGGAGACTTGTTTGACCCCAAAGTGAAGGTTTGAGCTGGATTTTTTTGGAGATATTTGCGTAGCCACTTGACATGTCCATTACATTTTTTAGCGGATGAGATGCTCCAACTATTGGGGTTAAGCCATTGTTATCCTTTGTAGTGCATTCTGGTGTTTCCTTCGCGCGGCTTCGATCTATAGGAGATTTGGATTTGTCACACTTGGCTTCGGCTTGGAAATCCCTGCTGCCAACAAACACCGAACGAGCTGCGCTGGATTCCGTGCGTGTTCAGAGGGAAGCAGGGGAAGGTTACAACAGCCACTCCTCATTCGTGGGAGAAGGCCATGTGAGAGTTTTGACCATTTTTCCTAAAACTGTTTTCAATTTAAAGAGTGACAGCGTTTGGAATGCATGAATTTCAGGACCACGCTTTTCACATACTGGTGTAGTCTGTCAAGATCAAAGTGGATTTCCATCAGCCGTGAAATGAAGCGATGATGTAACAGTAGGAATCCCCGATGTCCGGCCAAGCTTTGATGTAACAGTGGTTTTCCTTTCTACTCCCAAGGTGGAGTTTATTCTCAATTTTTTCCCCAAAAAACATGGACATTCTAGGGCATCCCTTTGTATCTGTAATGCTCTGCGGCCCCTTTGGTGGAAAAATCTGGGGCGCACCAAAGCAAAACAAAATCACGGACCAATGGGTAAAAGAAATCTGATCACTCCCTGCCAGGGCCGCTGGGTCAGCTGACTTCCCTGGGCTATCAGCAATGTTGCCGGGCAGGGCAGCACTTGAGACGTTGCTATCCTACAGCCTCGATTCGTGCCTTTAGCACAGAACCTTGGAGAGCACTCCGTCCCAAACTGGAGGAAGAAGCCAATTTCTCAATTGGGAATGGGTCCAAAATGCCAAGGTACCACAATAGTTATGTATATAAGCTTATTATTATCCCATCCATTTTCTTTTGACATGTATACCCGATAGAGATCGACTGACAACTCGTTGGAAGTCTCCCAAGTCAAGAGTCTCCATTTCTTCAGAAATGGATGGAAATGAACTGGGGAGGGGGTTTGAGGGACTCTTGTCTGCTGCAGACACCTAAATCAGGCTGCACTGGTGCAAATGTGTTTGTTGATGGGGGTAGGGTCGAGGCTCTGAACACGTTGGCACACTTTCTCCGGTAAGCCATCCATTTTGGGAGTACGGTACCCAATTTTGACCCATAGACCCATACCACCAGAGAACCAATCTTGTTTGATGCATAGGGTCGGGAATGAGCGATTTGAGAACTTGGAGAACTTGACAACAACTGCCTTATTTGGGGACAGTTTGTGCAACAGTATCCACAGTATCCTCTTTTCGCACAAATTGGAGATTGATATTATCTGAATTGATCTGATACTCTTCCCTTTACAATGCATCAATCATGGCCCACACACGCACACACCGCAGGTTTAGTAAACTTTAGTAGTTTATGCCTGCGGACCGAAAACCGTGCCCGTAAAACGCACGTTTTTGAATATCGCGATTGTGGGGTGGGGTGGGTGGGGGGGGCATGTTAACGTTCCTTGTACTTTGTACATGAAATATTGCCACGCTGCTGAGATCTCTGGGATCGTTTACTACGTTACATGTTGCTACGCTGCTGATGGGGTGGGGTGGGGTGGGGTGGGGTGGGGGGGGCATGTTAACGTTCCTTGTACTTCGTACATGATATATTGCCATGCTGCTGAGATCTCTGGGATCGTTTACTACGTTACATGTTGCTACGCTGCTGAAAGTGGAATCTGATGAAAAAGTCAATTCCCAGCAACTTGAGTGCCAAAAGTGACCTCTTGATGGTGTATGCTAGATCTTGGCAATGGAGATGCATTCACAAGAATGCTGACTGCCAGCTGATAACGGTGCATGCGTTGCAGCGATGATGCTGAAAAGCCAAAAAACGCGCCCCAAGTTTTTCCAGGATTTCCAATCATCAAATCAGCACGGCACTGTGGTAAAATCACCATTTTTTTAAAAACGTGCGTTTTATGGGCACGGTTTCCGGTCCGGCGGGTAGTTTATGCAGTAAACTCCTTTCGAGGTACGCAGCAGGTCCGCCATACTGCCAGGATTTTCCCAGAACCATCCAATCAGCTTCTTGCGTTCTCTTGGGCTTTGGTTCTGCGACTCCAGTGGTGGTTCCTGCGCCCCGACATCAGACACTGCTGCCCAACTACGATGGCACCTGCCAGCGCTACGATGAGCTTCGCGCCGGTGTCCGAGAAGATGCGCTGTTACTACGGCTTCGACGACAGGTGGAAGAGATGCTGAGTCCTTTCATGGGGCAGGAGCCGATGAACCTTGGAAGGATGGAAGAGTTGAGAGCCTGTGTTGTTTCAACATGTTTCAACTATTTGGTGAAATGGGTATGCTGTTAGCATAACATGTATCAGCATAGGATGCAATTTTGGGATTGAACGTTGAAGCAAAATTGACCGGTTCTGTCTCCGTTCCACTGGGGTCCAAATCATTTGTTGTGTTGTCGTTTTCAGTATTGATCCACAGACATGTGGGTTTGTCATTTGTTTGTCAACTTGGATGGTTAATCATGATTTCTGATATCCACTGGCCATAGATTGAGGTATCACTCATTTTCGGACACATGCGAGGAAGGAAGTTCATGATTTCACTCCCTTCTGTGTACATCAAGATGCGGTTGGTGCGATTCCTGGAATCCACTGGGACATGGCCAAGACAGTTGAGAAATACGAGGCATCCTGGGAGGTGCGACATGAAAGAGGGGGGTGAGAAGTGAGGAGTCATGTTTCTCGAGAATGACTATGAATGACTGAAAATGCGATTGGGTTTGCGGCAAAATAGGGGATATATCGGATACACTATATCAGACTATACCTAGAACTGCCATTTTCATGGGGTGATTGATGATGCATGAGTTTTTGGGGGTACCCTAGCGCAAAGCCAGTTGAATGGTCGGGTGGTCTAGTTGGATCACCAAGCAAGGCAGTAAGTTCTAGCCAGTTCCATGATTTTCTTTTGAGTCCCACAAGCTGGGTCCAACTCACCTTTCTTGTGGATGATACAGTATTTAAGTGTATATATGATTATATGTGTCTGTGTATATATATAACTTAACAATATGTATATATAATATTTCATGTTGCAATGTTTGATTTCCTTGGATAACCATCCAAGAGCTGGTGCCATCGTTAAAGAAAGGCAGCGGCTTACTCCAATTCTGAGCTACTTCGCTTGGCAGCTGGTCGTCTGGTCCAGGCAGGTGGTTGAAGACCAAGAACACAAACCAACATCATCTCTGGTGATCATGACCTTCATTCTTGACCTATCGCCCTTAATCAATAGTAGTGTGATCAAATTTGATCAAATGCTTTTTTTCCGCCCCGTCTTCAGATGATTGGGGCCCAACTTGACGATTCGTTGTTTTTTTCCCAATTCATGAAGGTGTCACGTGGTTATGCATTCTTTGTGCTTAGTCATTGGCCCTGATTTCTGGCCCGTGTCATGACAGAAGCAGACCATCTCCGAACGCAGGAAGTCTTGGACTCTCTGTCAGATTCTGGTCACCGGATCACGCTTTTGGCTGCACATGACAGTATGATGACGGCCTTTTTGATGGCTTTGGCTATCTACAAGCAGCAGTGGCCGCTGTATTGCTCCATGGTCTTGTGGCTCGGTTTTAAAACATGGGATTAATGGAGCAATTCGACCTTCCAAGATCCTTAGCACGTCCTTTCTGTCAGAGTCATGCTGGGGATAGTACTTTCGATGAAAGCCATCCTGGGAAAACTGTAGTTCACATTTCAAGGCATCAGAATTAAACATACCCTGGCCCTAGCCAAGGGCAAGAGTAAAGAACAATCACTGCAAATATCCGCCTATTGTTCCCCTGCGGAACCTGCCTAAGCAGTTTCATTGAAAGGAAAATACAAGCAATGAAGCAAAATAGAATCTGGAGGGCGAAAGCCAGTGGGCTTGGTGAAGGCATTTTACAAAGCTAGGCTTGGCTTGGAATTGAGGGGGCATAGTTGTTTGGATCTTCAGAATGAACCTCAAAGTCTTTGTGGAGAACTTCATGGGTTGAACAATTATTCAAGTCTCCAATTCCTGGATTTATCCCATTTAACATCCATTTACAATCTCAGCAAGTCATCGGATCATTTTTTTTGCATGTCTATCCCAAGATCCCAATATATCCCACTTACAATCCCAATTGTTGCACCCAGTATATCCCATTTGTAATCCCAATTTTTGCCCCCAGTCCATCCCATTTCAAGTGACGGGTCCCAGGCTGGAGACAGCCAACCTGGGAGACGAGCTCCGGGTGCGGGTGCTGATGAACAACGAGGCAGCTGGTCAGCTGATGACTGGTTGATCCTCAAGGGGGGGGAACCAGTCACCTGGGGGTGCCTTGAACTGGTCCCCAAAGAATACAAAACGGGGCAACCAGTTGTTTGAAACGGCCAGAACTCGATACCTACGATTGTCCTGAATGGAGGAACATCCAGAGGTACCAGCTATTTTGCGAAAAGAAAGGAACGGTTTTGATCCATAGCCATCTTGAGCCCCTCAATTTTTGGATCAAACCCGTGCAGGTCTGCCTGGATTGGCAGCCTTTGGAGAGCTTGAGCAAACGGGTCTCTGGCATCGTCATGTCGGCTGCTGCCTATAGAGCAGTTTGCACTCCAGCGGACGTGGAAAAAGTGTGACTTCCGCATTGTGAAATGGATGCAGGTGATGGACGCATCATTCCTGAAAGCACGACACCTCTTGACTGTACCGGGCAATTGAAGACAGCTTCCGTCCAGGGACAGGTGGCACCGCGCTACGACCCAGTGTTTGATCCTCAGTCTAGCGCTGCGACTTCACAGATCAATCCCCCAATATGAAATGCCAACGAATTGCTGGTTTAGTATTGGATCTGCTCATTTTGAGATTCGGGGAGTATTCGGTATGATCGAGAGATGGTATTCCTCGACCGTCATAATCTTTCCAGGTCCATGAAGGGGCCATTGCTGCAGATGGTGCAGCCTATCCTGCAGATTATTGCTGCTAGCAAGGGCATTCCCATGAACGAGTACCTCATGAGGCAGGGCCATTAGGATTTTTTCGTCAGATTTCCGTTCAACATAAAGTTGTTTAAACTTGCATGTGTATCGGTATGGTTGAATAACGTTTACATACGTTTACCATCTACAGTCAATTTGGATGATTTATTGCTCACAGTGATAGCATTTGCGGCTCCATTGGTACATAGTTTTTGGGCTAAAGCTTTGTTGTCACCGTGAGAGACTAAAAAAAAGTTTTCATTGTGTTTGCAGGACTGTGGCAAGAATATTTGCTTTCCTCAAGCAGCAGGTGCCAGGGTGCATGTTTCTTGGCTGTTCATACAATCAACAATGACCGCATCAGTGCATAGATTTATGGGAGAGATGAGTGGAAGCCGTGGCTTCAACATCCAAACTGAGTGGCTTCATGTGGAATTTCCTTTAATATCCGTAAATTTTGCAGCAATTACAGGAATGGTATACATATTGTGTATACCAACAGTTTTCTTCGAAAGCAAAGATGGAATCCGCTAAGCTCCAGCCGAAAAACCAGGGGGCAGAGACCGGCCTAGCAATGCCCGCACCTAAACTCCAGAGTGGCTCTTTTGGCCATGAATTGCCAGAAATCTTTGTGCCTAGGGTGAAAGGATGGGCTACTACAAGATACAGCACTTCCAAAACGATAGAAAAAGACTATCCTACTCAAAAAAACTACTCAAATACTAGTAAATTACTGTACTTTTCTATCTTTGTGGGAACTTTTCGGCTTGGCCTGGGATGTGCCGCCGAGGCTGGGCCCTCTCTCGGCCATCCTCATTGCAATGGCTGCAAACCCTTCCAATCCAGTTTTCAACCACAACCTCTTCGAGGCGCTGTCCATAGGTTTTGCCAATCCTTTTTGTGTAAAGATTGTGTGTACAGTGTAGAGCCTTCACAAGACCTAGGTAACATGGGCATGAGGTCATGTACATGTAAGTGCCTCTGATTCTCGAGGATGCTTGCATCTTGAGACACACTGTCTCTATCTGCATGAGGCAGTGGCTTCCATTGTGAAGGTTTGCGTTCCTACGCAACCTGACACTGCCCGCAGCTGAGTTTTGTGGAGAGGGGTTGAGTCATGGGTACTCCCAAACTATGGGTTTGTTTGAAAATAGGGTATAACATGGTATAACCCCAATGCTATTCAATAGGGACAATTACGATTAATCAGTGGATTTGGGGGTACCCTATTTTTAGACAAACCTATGGTTGCCCGGTCGCAGGTTGAGAATACCCTGCTGCCACCTTTTGGGCAGATCTTGGCATCGTCCCCAGTGAAACAGCGAAACACGGCGCCATTTTTGAGCAGTCTCCCCTTTCCAATCTGGGTACAGTAAGAATATGATAAACCAGCTGGCTATATGTGCTACTTTGTGGATACATGAATATAATACGTGTTTATTTATTGTTCCATATGGTTGGCCAACAGATTTCTTTCCAATGGGATATCATGTCCTTTCCTGGCAAGGAGAGGAATGTGGTGGACTTTTTGCCGTGCATGGCTCAGTCCTGCCTTGCTGAGTGGAGATGTCTTTGAAGCCGTACGAAAACGGAAAGGGATCCTGGGTTTGAACGTCTGAATTCTGTCCTTTCCTGTTCCTAACTCACTTTTTTTTGATCTTCTATGTGAAACAACGAAGGACGTGGAATACAACAATGGTGTCATTGAACACCACGGGATCTCGTTCTGATGATGTTGACGCTGAACAGAGGTATACATTCCAGATCATGGGTCTCCTTCTTGACGTTTTGACCTTGGAGCTACAGTGGCACGGATGCCCTTGGAGCTATAGCAGTTTGAGGTGCCCAAATTACCGCATAGTTTTAACCCAGGATGAATAACCCCCAGTTTATTAATAGGAGGATGCCAATTCTAATATATAGTAATTCATCAATTTATCATTATCTACGGTACCCCACCCGAAAAATAAGCAGCTTGAATTGATCCGGGGCTGACAATCAATTAGATGCCATCGGCTACGAACTGCGTCCAGTCGCGGTGACTGAGGCTTCTCCCAGCGTGAAGCCGCTCTACACACAGCTTTTTGCAAGGCTGAGATGACACTCTGCAGTCCGGCAAAAACCATGAAACTTGATTTAACTTAAATCTAGATCTACAATATTGTATACCTATATATATAATGTATACATTACATACATTACATACATACATACATACATACATACATACGTACGTACGTACGTACGTACGTAAGACAGACAGACAGACAGACAGACAGACCGACAGACAGACAGACAGACAGACAGACAGACACACAGACAGACAGACAGACAGACAGACAGACAGACAGAGACAGACAGACAGACAGACAGACAGAGACAGACAGACAGACAGACAGACAGACAGACAGACATACATAGATACATACATACATACATACATACATAGATACATAGATAGATAGATAGATAGATACATAGTTACATAGTTACATAGTTACATAGATACATAGATACATAGATACATAGATACATAGATACATAGATACATAGATACATAGATACATAGATACATAGATACATAGATACATCGATACATCGATACATCGATACATCGATACATCGATACATAGATACATAGATACATAGATACATAGATACATAGATACATAGATACATAGATACATAGATACATAGATACATAGATACATAGATACATAGATACATAGATACATAGATACATAGATACATAGATACATAGATACATAGATACATACATACATACATACATACATACATACATACATACATACACACAGACACACAGACACACAGACACACATACATGTAATATGTATGTGTATATGTACATAACCGCATCTGAGGTGGTAGAACTGTGTTTAGCCAATTTGAAAAGGGAGCACCCATTTGCCACGAGTGCTGTTCCCATTCGCCCAGCATCACAGGCTTCTGACCCCAGAGCTTTGGCGAGCCCAGGCAGTGATGACATGCAACAGCTGAGCTAAGTTAGCTGGTTATTTTTCACCCAGAGCTAGCTTGGAAATCCCCGAACGAAATGAAGGTTTTAATCAGTGAAAAAGCTGGAACATCATCGAACTAAAAGATGTTGAGAAAGTCAGCAAGACTAAAATACAAGGGTACAAGCCACACATATCAAAGCAGATTCAGCCAAAGAAAAAATCCTTTTGTAGAGAACAGCACGCGCCACATGGGTTTCTTTTTCACTCCAGGCAAATGTGCCGGGACTCATAAGACTCTTGCGTTGGGAGCTTATGCTGCAGCTGATTTTTACATGAACTGGGTGGGTACGGCAAGCTTGGATGAGCATCGGAGTGATCGAAGTTGAACAGTGGTTCACAATGGTGGCTATCACCCAGTTATGCACCGAGTTCTGTGTATGTTTGTAAGATATACATACATATATATAATATATATATATATGAACTATATGAATGTATCAGATCCAGTTATGAACCAGGATTGCACATCCAAGATGAACACTTTTTTGTGCAGCGCTCACCAAGGTGCTTACTTCACCAAGCATGCCTGTTTTGCAGAGCTGCTGAGGTCAAACATGCAGGCGCAAACAAATGCAACGCAAACCACACCCAGGTTTCAAGGTGAAAGGAAGGAGGTAAAATGTCTTGAACATTGGATGTCTTGCAAAGGTTTCTTGCTAGAAGCAGAACACTTTCATTCTCCACCACAATGGGAATTTTCAGCGCTTGCAGCTGTCGAGCTGGGAAGGCAATTCTGGAAAGGTTCCAATTCGTCCTGATGAATCGGAAGACCGAGGCGCGAAAGCATCTACAGATATCTACAGTGACTGTGGGCTGCTGTGGGCTGCTGTGGGCTGCTGTGCATTAGAAGATGTCAACTGAGCTGGCCTCGTGACAGGTTGCAGCACTGGATTTGCTCAGAACTTACGAGCAGAACTGTGCCCACATCGAGATGAAATGTCAATTGATGTCAATTGCTTTTTTGTTTGTAGAGCCCTGGAGAGCTTGGCAAATGGTGAGTCAATTCTGAGGCTGAATGCGATGTATCAGTACTTGCCCATTGAATTTTATCAGCAGTTTCTGAAGACGCTTATCACAGTTTTGCGATGGCCTCAGAGGCCAAAAAACACGGCAACAGATGGCCACTTTCGGATGTTGAGCAACAGCAGACGTGACACTTTTGGACTGGGAACTCATGAGAACTTAGCTGACACTTCACAGATCACGCCCACCTCTGCCATGTTCTTGCCATGTCGATGGACAAGATGTTGATGCCTTGCCATTCAAAAGGAAGCTTTTGCGGGTTCTTGCGGCCATCCAGGTTGACTAGACTGCAAAGCAGCAAGTCACCAAAGTTCAAGCGGGACTTTGTTGTCTCGTGCTCGTCAGCAGCTCATTGAAGAATCTCCTATCAGAGATGCGTGCAAGAAGAGCCCAACTATCAGGAAGACTGTGACTAAGTCAGGTATGTGGATCAGGTTATCCTTCTTGACTTGACTTGAAAACTGATTACAGTAGTGGTTATATAACTGAATGTAACTGATTAAACAGCTATATTTTAAGACATTTTCGTGAAGTGAAATCACGCCCAATTTGGCAAACAAACAAAGAGCCCCATTTCTTGGCTCTGGGAGCTCCTATGCCCTATGCAAAGAGCACGTCGCGTCCAAGGCTTTGCATACACAAAAATCAGTCAGTGATAGCACTGTTCAACGAAATCCAGGCCTCAGATTCGCCAGTGTTGCGTTTAAAATCGCTCTTCGGTGATTTTGCTATATCTCTTCGGTGAACGAAGAAGTAGAACAAAAGAGTGGATCAGAGGATTACCAGCATTGATACTCATTCATTGCAAGAGTTGGTACTGGTACTCAACCGCTTTCGTATACACTGTTTGATCTTTATTTTTCACTACAATTCTCCACTCAAGTCATATCATCTCTGACAGCCCAATGTCCACACCCTGCAGGCCGGCCTATTGAGCAATCTTCTGCTCAACGTGTGGCCGGCTGTGCTCAAGATGCCTTTGCGGACTGACGAGCGAAAGGTACCGAACTGCAGGGTGGATATCAAGACACTTATGAAGTACTGTAATCAAGAACATGGAGAAATGATGAGAAATGTGTGACTGGAGGAAATTCTGAAAGCCCACCGATAAAGCCCCAATTGGTGATGGTTTACTGATCCACAGGGGTCCAAGCTGTCCACTGCCCCCTGCAGGTTTGTGTGATGGCGCTGGCCAAGCTGTTTTCAGTAGAAGAGCTGAGACAGCCTGTGTCTCAGGGGCCCCAGTCGCGTTGCGCAGCCATTAGGGACGGATCAAGAGCTATTAGACCATATTATATGTTTCCTCGGGGATGAACATCAACCAGCTGAGCCATAGCCGTTTGAATTCAAAGCCTTGTCTTTTGTTGTGTTTCAGAATGTCGACTGGTGCGTCAGCGATTCAACCCAATGGCTTGAGCCGAAATTGGAGCGCCGTCCCATTCACATCTTCTCCTGGAATTGAAATTCTTGCACATTGACAGTAAATGTGGCCGATGTTTCGGTGTGTCCACGTTTAGTTTAGGAACACGCCGCTCGTTGGCGCTTGCTCCCTTGGTTTGATACACTTGCCCGCAGCTCAGATGCCTGGGCTCTTGGAGTTGTCTTGCCATCTGAAGTGACTCGAGGTTGGGATTGGCTTCAAGTGGCAAGACCAAGCAGAATGGCGAAGAAGGTTCTGGACTTGGTCATTGAATGTTTTATTGACATGTTCCATCTATGGAAATTGCAGTTTTTCGGCTCAACCGTTATTATGCACATGTATAGTAGATTGTATATTATAACACAGATAATATATAATATGATATATAATATATATATATACAATATTCATATAATATGCAATACATAATCTACAATAAATTATATATTATATAAACATTATATATTATATATACTATATTTTATATTATATATTATATATATTATATATCATATGATATATTATATATTGTATATCATATTATATATTATATATTAAATATAATATGATATAATATATATATATATAATATTTATATAATATGTAATATACAATATAATATATGATATGTAATATAAAATATTTAATATATAATATATAATATGTAAAATATGATATGTAATATATAATATGTAATGTATAATATATAAAATATGATATGTAATATATAATATGTAATATATGATATATAAGATAGTATGTATAATATAGAATATATATATAATGTATAATATATGATATAGAATATACAATTTATAATATATGATATATGATATGATATACATAATATATAATATACATAATATATATATATATCGTGCTGTACATAGTACAGTATCATATATATATATATATACGTACATATCATATGTATACTATATACAAATTTGTACATTGCATATCCCTTTCTGCCAGACAATCCGATGCTCTCAACCTGAAGGTTCCGATGAGGAGCTGGAGAATGGCGCTGGTCAAGAGTCGGCCCCCCAGAGGCGGCTGAAAGGTGTTTCAGGTGCATATAGATAGATATAGTTCATATAATGTTCATATGTAATGATATCTCTATAACTCCACAATTATGTATATATATATACATATGTATACATATCCATATCATATAATATGATGAAACAGGCAAGGGTTGGGCATGGCTCATTTTACCCAAATTTGTGACATGTATGAAGCTTTAAAGATTGCTTTGTCTCCTCTCCTTGCAGTCTAGGTACGAGGTGAGCTTTAACAAGCTTCGGAATACGGATCTGCCGGGCGCCGCTGCTGGACTGGCACCAGATGTTCCCTGGATGAACATGACGAGATTCTCTTTCAAAAAAGAGGGATTCAAGAGGAAACTCCAACAAACATGGAGGATTTTCATCGATTTTCCAGTGCTATTTAGATGACCAGAGAGTAATCTTTTCTTCCAAGGCTGGTGCCCTTGACTAAAAAAACCCGGAATCGTAACCTCGGGAGACGGTTGCTACTGGCCAAAGGACTACTATACCAAACAAAGGATCCACAACGATTTGTTCCTCTACAGAAGGAACAAACGGGAGAATTGTATAGAATTGGGCTGTGAAAGGGAGCTGCGCAGTGGTGCTTTGGGGTAGCAGCGGATGAAGAAGAACGGATTGAGAGGAACAGGCCTGCAGGAATCATGTTTTTACTTGGGTATACCCTTGCTTGGGAGGATTGATTTCAGAGTCATAGTCATAGTCATAGTCCCTGTTGTAGTTGATTCACTGGAGGATGGTGATTGGGTTTACCACACGAAATGGGATATCTATATATATATATATCTATCTATCTATCTATATATATATATAATATCTTATGACATTTCCCAGCTATTTTCTGGGATATTTGCCTTGCCAAAATCGCCAAAACGTTCAAATGGGGTCTGAAAATGAGGCCCGAAAAAACGGCTGTCTTACCAGGGAAAATGATGAAGAATCAATGGATATCAATGGATATCAATGGATTTAGGGGTACTCCCAAACTTTCAGACCCAAATTGTGGGGCCACTCCCCACACCCAGGTGCCCGATCTGCATTCCGCAGCGAAAGCATCGTTGAAGCCGCTGGGCCCGGCACGGGGGTCCCAGTTGGAGCCATGGGCCCAATGGCCGCCATGGGCCGTGGCGGCCATTCCTTTCCCTCTAATAACATATCTTAGCAAAGGAAAATGTTAATATTGGATCATTGGATCTATTCATTTTTAAGGTTCCCTCATTGGGTGTAGTTAATATGATTGGGGGGACGATCATTTGGTCTCAGACAGGGTGCTGCATCTCGAAGGAGCGGTGCAGGCTGCTGCTCCTGTTATCCATCGGTGGTCCCTGACGGTCCTCGGGATCAACATTATTGAACACTGGGATTTGCACACATTGCTCATGCTACATCATGCTCGTAGTGTTTCAACTAACCACCACCATTTCTGTGTCTCTTCCTTGAGCTACATTTGCGTTCCATTTTGTATCTATAGCTGCATCAACATGATGTAAAGGTTATATCCACGTCTAGCTATAGTTATGCTGTCCATGTTCTGATGCTATTTCATATGGGTACACCGTACACCACTATCATAGTTATCATGATATACCAGTAGCATTTGATATGTATAGTAGTGATATCCATATGATATCTGATATATGTATATATATATATGCATACACAAACAAATATAGTAATATCTGATATGTATAGTTATATCTGACATCTGACATAATATTATCCATGCAATATCATACAGTTAACCCCAGTGCATCCATATCTCTAATCTGAGGTGCTACTGCAGCTGGCAGCAGCCACCCCAGAGCTGCAGTCCCTGGGCAGTCGCTGAAATGGGGAACTGGGGAAGCCATGGGAAACCGAAAGAAAATGCACATGGTTCATGATATTATCATGTTTTTTTTTTTTTTCCTGCACTCAAATCATGAGTTGGGGGTATTTATCGTTTTAAGATAAACCCCAAAAAATCGAATTTTGATGATTATATATCAACTATATCGACTACTATCCAGTGGTCAGGAGGGAACTATTCGGAGCTATGGCTGTATCCATATTCCGTATGAGCTACGAAGGGAGCCAGTTGGAGCCACGAATTGACTTTCCTAGCCGCATGATGGATTATCATCACTCTGTTTATCATCATATATCATCATATATCATCATATATCATCATTATCAATATTTCATAATCAAATATTCGTGATGATGTTGGTGATGTTGATGACGTTCATATCGATGTGGATGTCGATGTTGTCATTGTTGCCGGTGTTGCAGCCAAACATTGGCAACGAAGACATGTTGGTGCAATTTATGCAAGACATGGGACGTAGTTCTGTTTGCAGCCACACGAGCATGAGGGCCTGCACTTTGGCTTCTTGGTCGTGAAGTATCATACGCCGCAGACCCTTCTTCACTTTCAGCTGCACTACCAAGGCCTTTGGCGGTTTTTCTGCAATAGGCAGCATGCCGTGTCATGTTTCTCTTAGTTAGGCTTGCTGGATGTGTGATTGCCTACAGTGGGCCTAAAGGAGTTTGTCTAGGAGATCAGCGTGGTGTAGCAACTCTTGGTCTCCCGATTCAAGCTTCCTGATTTGTCATGAACGTTTAGGCTTGATCACATATCCAGGAAGAGACAGGGGTGCTTGCCCATTCAACATCTCCAAACTCCAAAACCCCCCAAACTTTTTTCTTGCCAGCGCTGCATTGCAGTAAGCGGATTGGCATTGATTGGCAGTACCCCAGAGTCTCATTGGTAGTGCCTGCAGGTAACCAGCACCTGTCAGCACGTAGTCACCTAGTGATAGGTGGACGGCGGCAAGATGCCCCAATTCATGCCTGGAATTTTGGGCAGATGGCAGCATTCCCGTGCACCGTTTAACTGGTAGCCATCACTCCTGCCGACCAAAATCAGGAATGCCTATTGCTGACTGTGAGCAGTGCTTGCCATCCGCAATGAACACTGTTTCATGCAGCACAAGAGAATGAATGTCCCTGTGATGGCTCAAGAGTGTGATTTAGTAGTTCAGCAACCATTTTGCAAAGAGCCATTGAGCTAGAAATAGCTGGCTTGTTTTGTGGCACTTGTCCTCAAACATCGGTAATCATGCTATCTAGGCCCAACACATGTCAAGGGGGAGAACCCGTGAGAGCGATCATAGTTTGCATGGAGTGCTGCTAAGTGCCGCTTAGTCGGCTATGGCCAAGCAAATACCGTTTCTACTGCTGCTTGGCACCATGAAGCTTGCGAGGGTGACCATAGACATCTCCTTTGTTCCTGGGTTCGGGCTCAAAAAAAAGTGAAACCCTGGCTAGTCTATGAATATGTATGAATGAGAACTATGGCCAAATCTTTGGTTCTGTACCCAACGTTTCAGTAAAACTTAGTGTAAGAATTCATCGAACCCACGTTTCTTGGCAGTTTTCCCATCAGTGCTGCTCAGCCGAGGCCTTGTGGTTGTTTTGGTGCCTCCAAACCCAAGCAGCGAACATGGAAGGCTCAGGCCGCAACCCCGGTGGGTTGATGATCCCTGGGGATGTTTTCAGCTTTCATATTTTGAGGCCCGGAAGTTGAAAAATGATAAAAACGGACTTTTCAAAGATGAACAAAAATCACTACTGGTAGTTGTTGGCGACATATGGCCAGGCGCGCAGCAACACCTTGACCTACAAGATGCTAGAGCATGTGTCTTTGGCCGTTGACTCCTGTTCAACTGAGGATATCAGGCGTATAATATATATATATATATTGATTGTAGAGCTTCGCACACCGGCGATGCCGGTAGGGGTCGGGGGAGGGAAAGAGAGAGGGGGATGTCATCTGAACTTGCGAACATGACATGCTGAGGGTCGGCGGCCTATCTTGGGGCTATGTTGGCCCAGCTTGGGGCTATGTTGGCCCATCTTGAGGCTATGTTGGCCTATGCCTATGCACACAAAGTGTTGTAATTTACAGCATTTTGCGCTGTGAGATGGCAAGAACCCGTGTAAATACCACAGTTTTAGTCCCCGAAAGTGGCTAAACACTCTTATTTACAGAGTTTCGTTCACATCACGATCTTCGATTTTTTGAAAAACGTGTAAATACCAGCGTTTTTTGCATTCATCAAGACAAAAAATCGGTTCAAAAAGTGCAAAAAATGCGGTAATTTACAGGGGAGTGGCCCCGTCACAAGCAAAAAACTGCGTAAATACCAGCGTTTCGGCGTCCAAAAGTTGCCAAAACACCGCTATTTACAGTGTTTCGTGCCTTCCACGTTTGCTTGAAATTGCAGAAACATTGTAAATACCAGGGCCCTAGCCCCACCCTCCTCGAGGACGGACAGGTTTCCCACGGCGCACTTCCAAAGGGCCGAACTTCGCAGAGCCCTAGCCCCTTCACCGTGACAGACGGACAGGTTCCCCACAGCTCACCCCTGCGTGCCTCACGTCGCCTTTGAAACGGACTAAAGCATTCACCTGGCACTAACGCCGCGTGCTGCAAGCCTAAGTCCGTGGTTTCTCTAACGCGCTCCCCCTGCAGCACGCTGGGGTCGGCGGATATATATATATATATTTATTCATATCGCGACTTTAGCACTGAGGTTCAAGATTTCGGACGGTCTTACAGAGATATGCATCTCATATGTACATGATTATAAATGGCTTATAACTTATATAACCTGCAACTGTAATGGTTATGGACATTATGGACCATATATCAACTAGTACATCCAAGTCTCGAAACCTAGACAGTGACCAGCCTCAGGTGATAGAAGCTGCTGCTGCGCACATTGAGTGCTGGAATCCAGATGAGTTGCTTGGCTCGGTGCATCTTTGACTCGGACTGTGGGTACCAACGGTTCGGGGCTCCGTTGCAACCGGCAACCGAGGTTCACGACAGTGTGTTCCCTGCAGGATCCGCTGGGTCAGTTTGTTGACACCTGTAGTCCGCTTGGCACAGAGAGATGCGGTGTGCACCAAAGATGCTGGCACCAATCGAGTTCGGCAACAATCTCCTGTAATTTTCGGTAGTTACAAGAGATCAATCTCCTCATTTTCCCACGATTTGACCGTTGAATTTCCCATGGATTTCCCATAATTTTCATGGTTTCCTCCCCATTCTGAAGTCTGATTGCAGGAGCCCAACCAGTCTCGTGCCTCTGTGGACTTTGTGAAGCATCAAAGTAAGTCCTTGGCGGTGAAGCGCATGCCGAACAGGTGGGGATCCAGGTTTTTTTGGGGAGAGATGCAGGTGGATTCTGCCCATCGCAGATTTATTTGGAAAAAGGGCAAGAGTATGCAAGAGTTACCAAATATGGTCAAGTCTTTTCTTGTCAAGTTGTTATAAGTTTGTTGTTTCTGCGAAGGTGCGAGCAAAAGAGCAAGAGTGCGAATGTTTTTAAAATAGAAGCTCGTGTGAAAGGGAGATACATTTGGCCATCGCGCCATCGGCCTATCGCTTTTGAGCAGGTGGATCAAGTCGCGAGCGTCAGAGTGTGAGCCTTTGGAAGTGGACCTGCTGGGATACTGTCTGGACTTGTTAGACCTAGCTGGGGGGCCTTTCCGATTCACTGAGGTTTGATGAGAGTAATCCAAAGTCTTCGGAAAAACCGTGGATTGAAATCGGGCTGCTGAGATATCTCAATGCTCTGGGGTTCAGTCCTCAGGTCTACCTCTGGCTTGTTTGCCAGTGGAATTGCAATCGATCCTTTTCATCTCTGCACGTATTTCCTGGTTCAGTTTGAATTCTTCTCCCTTCATCATCTGCTAGTGGGTATGGGTCAAAAACAGGGCACCAACGAACGCCCGACAAACTGGTTCTTTTTACGGCAAGCCTGAAAAACATGAAACCTGATTTACATACTTCTATTTTACTCGGAGTTTCTCTTCTATTTCCCCAAACAGTGTGCTGTTAGGGGTTCTTAATGCTTTCTTAAGGTGTCCGCCTTGGTGTTGGATGGTGTGTCTGCCTTCCCGAGGTCTTGTCTCCCCTTGTCTCAGCTCGTCCCCCAGCTTGTCTCTCAGCTTGTCTCCGATCTTGTCTCCCAGCTTGTCTCCCAGCTTGTCTCCCATCTTGTCTCCCAGCTTGTCTTGCTTCTTGTTTCCTTTGTTGGATGGTGTGTGCTAGATCCAAATACTTGCACCCCTATTGGATGTTTTCTTCATCTTTCTTCGCGGCATCTAGCGTTGCGACAAAGCAAGCGAAACCGGAAAAAAACGTGAAGTGGTCTCCGGCACTTATTGCAGACATTTTCACGCTTCCTGTCGCTGCTATTTCATGTGTTTGACCCTGCTCCTCAAAACACTTTCTGAATACACCCACTGTTTGGGGTCTACGGTGGTGTAATTTTTTTTTGGGTTACATGGGGGTAAATCAGTTTGACCAAGTCCCCAAAGTCGATGAGGTTCCCTCATGTCTGCGACCTGTTTGGCATCTTCCGGGATGAGGAGTATACCTATGTTGCAACATCGCTGGGAGCCAAGTGACAAGCACAGCTGTGCCACATTGAAGATGTACAAGACTCAAATCACTTCTCATTGAAGGCCAGATTATTATTACTACTATTTTCTGTTTTTTAATTTCCACAAAAAAAAAGAAAAAAACATATTGAAACAGATCACCTAATTGCTGCAAGAGAAACACGGTTTCTCAGCTCGCAAGCAGCTCCAGGTTAGCCTCCGAAGGTGACCTATTTCACTGGGTGGAGCAACTTTCCCTGGCACCCGGCCTGGACCGTGAGAGTGACTTGGAGAAGGGGCGATTTCGCTGGGGAAACCATGGAAAACCTTGGTGGGTTGGTCCCAATGGCCTTGAATAGCTTTTTGGGTGGGTTGAAATCATCATCCTTGGCGAGACCTCAAGATCAGCAGCAAGCCAGTTCAGATTTGCCCGGGTTCGCGTCGATTTGATCAAATCAACAGCAATTGGAAATGCAAGGCAACAAGTTCTTGGTGGTTTCGGTTGTTTTCTTTGTGACTTTCATTGACTCATAGACTATTTACAACTGTGTTTCAACTTTCAACTGGATCATGGTGCCAATAGACGATGAGTTGGATGGGTTGAAGCCCCCAGCACATGGCATTTACACATTCCCAACATTGATGTCACAGCTGGAGGACTTCACTACTGTACTCCCAAATGCCCAATTGAATGGGGAAAATGATGCTTCACCAATGAATTTACGGATACCCAATTTTCAGACAGACCCATATACCAGACCAGACCTAACCATTAGTTGGGGAGTGGAAGACTACGTTCCTCTAAAACGTAGCGATTCTCACGGTATATGTTAGTTAGGGACTGTATGTAGATACACAGATGCAGATATGACAGATGCGGATAAATGTTTACGCGTGTAGATGTCATATCCACTTTATATCTCTCTGGCGCATTTTTGTTGGCCAATTTCTTGGCGCAAAGGAATGATCCGGCCGATGATGGGCCAGCTGTGGTTTGGCAGCATCCCATGCTGAGATCCACCAATTTCCACCACATCCACCAGCAGTGCTGTGAGCCATTCCCAAACAGAAAAGCAGACAGCTGTGGTGCTGTCCGTCAATAGTGTCATCCCCAAGTTTATCATGGGACTCAAAAAGTGTACACGTGCGGAAGCTTGTCTTTCAGTCCCATCTTTTGGGTTTCCTGCGATGAGTAAAATCCCAATTCTGGCTAGGAATCGAAATGTTTGGTGAATTCTCCATTTTCAGTGCTTGGTTGATTTCCCTTATTTTTTGTTGGTTAATTCAGTGCCCATAGGCCCTTTCTCACCATCAAAAAGCTAAGGTTTTCAGCTGTTCAGAAGCTGCATGATCTTGGCATTGCTCATCGGGACATCTCACTGGATGCTCGGGTTTGTGGTAAGCGGGTCCAGCCGGTGGCTAAGCCAACAGGGGTATCAAATCAACCACAGATTCTATGTGAATGTAATGGGGATACACTAATTGGATATATATATATATGTATATAACCAACAACATGATATGGATTTGTCGAGAATGGGTGAGATTTAACGCACAATTGCAATTTAAGTAATTACAGAAGATCTTTGAATCGGAAAATGATGACAAATCATTGGATTTCTGATTACCTCATTTCTGTCTCAAGCTGAAATAGGCCCACAGTCATGTGAAATCTAATTGCCCCGTTCTCAAGAGTCATTTGGCTGGAAATGTCGAGCAAGCACCTTCCAATGCTTGATCAACCAGCCAGCTCTTTTCCGTTTGTTGAATTTTTCGCTTAGCAAGGCACAATGCTTGCAACACTGGCAAGGCAAGTATGTGATATGGATTTTGTGCTACAGAAAACATTGCATTTTCGATAGCACATAAAATGAACATGTGCATTTAATCAACAAGATAATCTGTTGATATATGTATATGTATATATATATATATACACATACCTATGTACTAGTCATACAACTGAGAAACCATGTCGATTATTTGGCTTGTTTGATCCGCCGCTCGTATAATGTGTCATCAATCTTTGCAGCCAAGGAGAATACATTGCTGACGACAAATTCTGAAGGACCCACCAAGCAATTCCACAAGTCCAAGCTGCGAGTGCCCTCCACCGTGTGCGTTCCTGCATGCTCCTGCAACGCACCATCATTGCCAAAAAATCTGCTGACACGTGTCCGTAAGTGTCGCCTTCAGGAGGAATTCAACTCCAGCTGATTGATTTTGGCATGGCAACCCTGTTTCTCAGCTGCGACTCAGCTAGTTTCGGAGCGTTTTTTGTTACATCTGCAGCGATGTTTTCAGGTCGAGAAGGTGCACAGAGGTGAGGGGGAAGAAAGCATATCAGGCAGGGCCAGTTGATCGGCATATGGCCTGAGGGTTTTATCAAAAAGGGCAGCTGAAACAGCAAAAAATGGAAGGAGGAAGATCAGAAGCCAAGAAATGTAAAGAAGAGAATGTGCCAGATGATGAAGAAGGAATCCCATCCAGAGACATTGAAGAGGGGGGCTTAGCAGCACCAGTAGGACCCAATCACAGAGTCTGCTCCAACAGTGGTGGCTGTAACGGTAAGAGACCTCGTGACAGTTTCTTACCAAACCCCAGCATTTGGAGATGGGTTATATAGGAGTCTAGAGTTACGAAATGGGCCATTTAGGCAACAATTGCATTTGGTTTGGCAGCTTGGAGGCCCCCGAAATGCACTGACCCGGACTATGATAGCTTTCTTGCAGATGATTTCGCTTTGGGCGCAGCTCGGTCGAGATCAGATGCTAAGATGTAGGCATGATCACTCCTTGAGCATATAGCTCCAAAGTCCATCAGCCGTCAACGGTTTGGAACACTGGGACCCTTGGGATACCTCAGCAGAAAGGCCTAAAAAAATCACGTAAGGCGTGGAAAAAAACTCAGGTGGTGCTGTATGCCATGGCGCTGAGCGACTATCCATGGGTTGCAACCAGACTGGGCGGCTGCAAGCTGTTTGAGCTGCTTGTCCAACTAACGTTTGTCCAAATTATTTTGCGGCTGAAGAACTAGCCCCCAAGTTGGGGAGGTCTTCACATTCGAAGCTCATCTATTTTTTTTGGTGATGAGGTTTCCCTACCGCAGCAACATGTTCTCCTACTGAATGGGCACAGGTCAAAGAATTCTGATACCCACAAACCACAGACATTGTGGCCATGTTCACTTGTAAATGGGGTCCAATCTGACTTGACCCATACCTATGTGGGGATGTGTCAAGACCTATGCTACCGTATATTTTCTGGGGATCAACATCAAGAATCTTTCTAAGACATTGAAGGAACCCTGCAAGGTGAGACAGTGAACCTTGCATCTGTGCCTTGTTTTTGCAGATTAAAAACATCAACATCAAGAACTCCCAGCTGATGTGGTGTGAGTTCACCCGGGGATTCCATAGGTTTTGACCAATAGTCATACCTCACTTGTTTTTTTTGGTAAATATTCTTGAGATCCAATATTGTATATGTATGTATATGTACCCCCATGTTGTTTCCCAGTGGTATTCCCATGAAGTTATATCACCATGGATAGTTCCCAAGTTTATGCCCAAGCTTGTCCCCAATCATGTATATATAATATGATATAATATATATATATACAATCTCTCTCTACATATATATATATATACACGAATATACAGGATCTTGTAAGCCCAGCAAATTACAAGCTGTTCATCCACGTGGCATGTCAGGTTCATCCACACCTGGGGTTTCATGGAGTTCATCAAGAAGCGGAGCTGCAAGAAGGGCACCAGTCCCAGAATCATCGAGGTACTCGGGGCGGATGGGAACCCAGGGAGGTCAACGAGCCATTTCTATGAGCTGCTAGAGATTTACAAAATGAATACACAGTGAATACTTTATGAATACATCATGAATACTTGATGAATACATAATGTATACCTATTGAACACATAGTGAATACATAATGAATACATAATTAGCATATATATATATACATATGTACAAAGTATATATTATACACATAATATTGTGACAAATACAGTATTATATATATAATAATAGTAATAATACGAATAATAATAATAAAAATAATAACAATAAAATAATAATATATAATAATAATAACAACAACAATAATAATAATAATCATTTATAGTTATCAGATGTTGTCACACACTCGTATGTTGGACCAACATACAAATGGGAGACTTCCTAGCATTTGGTCACCATCCAACCACTGGTTTGTGGTTTCGCATTTGCCTTGGATGATGAGATTTTTCAGGGTGGGGCTTAACCCACCAGCCAGCCTTGTTTGGTGGGGTCTGGTATATTTCTTTAAAATCAATCTACTAATTAACAGTCCACTATACAATTTCCAGTAAACTGATATGATCCGCACTCAGTAAAGATGATTAACCAACCAGCAACTTTGGTCATGGTGGTTAGGCATCCATGGACATATCCACTTATAGATGATTGGAATAATTTCTCCCATCCAAACATGGGAGAACTGGAGCAATCCCATCCTCCCCAATTGTGTTTGTTAAATCCAATAGCTCCATAGCTACCAATACAAATCCACTCTAACCCCTATCAACCGGTGACTTTGGGGGTGGTTGCCAAATTTGATGGTTGACTCTAATCTTTGTGATTAAGGATAGATAAACGCCAATACCTCAGGGGTAAAATCCAAACTTTTGATGGGTAAAACAGTTTCTTCTCCCCACATTTTTGATAGGTGAAGGGCATAACACGACCATGACCATAATTTGGGGGCAACTCCTCAATTTTGGAAACTTAAATCGAAATATCAGATTGTCACAGTCACATTATATAAATACATCTATGATATACATATCCGATCCATACCACATTTTCAATCCCCATTTCTGCCATCTACCGCAGGTCTTATCACCGGAACTTGCTGAGCTTCTCGATGGCCTTCTGGAGCTCCACCCGGAGGATCGCTTGTGTCTTGGGGAGTTCCTCGGCGGAGTGCCATTGCTGGGGGATTTCCTGGAGGAAACAAGGGACTGGGGGAAGTTAGGAAGAAGAATGGGTGCTGATGTTTGGTGTGAACCAAGGATTTTTTCGGGGATTTGTATAGGCGGTCAGCCATTTGAACAGTCGGAAGAAAATGCGCAAAAGTTGGCAATTTTTTGGAGCAAATCCGAATTGGAATGCTACAAATTTGAGCCAGACCCATTCAAAACCAGGGCCTTCATTTTCGACCCAGAATTGAGATGCCCTGTTGTGAACGGATATGGCGATGGTGCACATATTTATTTGTTTGTTATCGCCGAACCGATTTCCCAAGGTGTGACAAAGATGATTTGACACCAAGTATGAATTTGATCAAATTACATTCCTCATCCCCATCCCATCAACTTTTTGGAAGGTCGTGCTACGAAGACAAGACTCACTGGTCTGCTTGGAACATGGTCCAATACTAAGATCGCCTGGGATGGAATGAGCGTTCTGCAAACCAGCGACTACGGGTGGTGTGCAAAAAGAGGCGACAGTGTCGATAGTTTGCAGTCAATTCTCCCTGCGATGTTGCTGCTCCCCAAGGCATGGCTTAGCGGATCGCCCAGGAAGTCAAGGCCCAACTGCAACTTGGCCAGGATTTTGAGCTGCGGTCCAATTTTCAAGGGGATTATTATATTTTCCGGTGGCAATTATGCCAGGGTTGATCAAAAAGCAATTTTCAAAGGTCGGATAGTTGAGTTCGCTGGTCTCAACTAGATATAGAGAGGCAAAACAACATGTTGGTTGATGGGTGCTTTGCTCTTTGTATCCATTTGTGAACACCACGATCGACCATCGATACCATCATAGCGCTTCATTGAACAAGCATCAGTTTGAACAGACGTTCCCGAAGGGGGCTTGCGTGAGGGCATGCTTGCCCAAACAAGTGCAGCTATCGCCCGCCTTGATTTGTGTCTGGAATTACAGCAGGAGCTGGCCACCGATACAATCTTTTCATCCATCTATCCCTCTTCTAGGTGTTCCTCCCCCTGGCTGCTCCCCACCCAACATGGTTTAAAATATCCCTTTCCCCATGATTTAAGAACCATAATTTGGGGATTTACTCCTCCAATAGCTTGAGACAAAGCCATCTCAGGTGTCATCAGCTGAAGTAAAAACATGTGTCCCATCGGTGATCGTGTGGTGGAAGAAGTGGACCAGTTGCATTTTGTTTGGAGAAGTGTCCCAAATGCATGGTGATTCTGGTGGAATATTTTGCTTTCTTCTTCTGCCACTGCACACGTTGGTCATGTTTTCTTTTGACAGTGACATGGTCACTGGAGAAATCGTTTTGTAGAGTGTTGGCGAAACAGGAATTGGATGTTGGATATAGGGTCTTCACTAAAGACATGCCTAAATTATGGTACTTGCTTGGAGCTTCTTGTCTGTTGTGTGGAGCAAAATGCTTAAATGCTTTGCTCTAGAAAAAGAGATCAACATCTCACCGGCGCCGGCTTGTGAAGAGCTTTGCACTTCTCCAATTCAAGCACATGTCAATCGACCTGATTTCCAAATAAATGACATTCCATAAGACGTGGCCTTTTCCATAGAAACCTCCAAAGTAAAATGAAACGTTTGTCCAAATTTTCTGCTGAAGTTTTGGTATGGAGTGCACTGGCGTGATGCAGCCGGTCATATTCTTTACCACCAGCATGGGGCTGGGTCTTGCAGTTTTGTTGCTCTAATTCAACGACGTAGACATCTAGCTCTTGCTGGGCTTCTCTTCGCGATTCCTTTCAGTCGTACTGAGTCTGTTTTTGTTCATGTTATCAGCATCCAACTGTTGCGCTACACCTTTTTGAGCTGTCCCTGTATGTTGCGATCATACATGTATTTTTTTGCACATTTGCTACTTTGCTGCTCTGTGCGACTGCAGGGGTCGCGCTGCTGTTCATGCGCTTTTTCAGCGCTGCCCGAAGCGCAGAAATCTCTGCGAATTCGTTGAGAGTTTCACCGGCCGCACCAGGCCATTCTGGCAATTTTTCGCCAGGATGAGTTTGCTTGGACATTTGCAGGGCCGGCCGATTTGAAAGGAACGACCCGCTTGACAAGCCCTGCAGGGCTCTGCCGGGGGAGCCGTCGATTTCACTGATTTCACCTAGTTTGAATCGGTAGTTGACGAGCCATACAAAGTGTATTTTCAGAAGGAAAAGAGATGGACGATGGTGTGACAGGGCCGTGCCTCATTGCAGCTGCCAAGTGGGCATGGATCAAGATTGGGAACCCCTCTAAGAGCACACAACATTTGGGGCTCGAAGCCCCCTGAGACCAATTGGGAGATTTTTCTCATAGTTGCAGCACGTTCAACCTGCCATGGATGCAGCATACAGCTGGGGATTGGGCCACCTGCATTGTGCTCAAGCTTAGTGGCCCTGTGAGTCACCATGGCCACCTATGCAGGCGCGGCTTGCCAGAGGTTTCTATCAGTTTCAAGCTGACAGATATTTGGATGTTGGTTCAAAAGGAGGTGCTCCAAAAGAATGGATGGTGCAATGCAAAAGCTGACCACAATTTGTGGGTCCCTTCATATCAGGTTTGACCCATAGCCAGTTTTAAGATTTGTCCTTCGCCCTCTTTCTTTGGGCGAAAATTCATGATGATCATCAATAGCCAACGGGACGGGACAGATTTCATCCAAATCATCCAACAAAAACAGACTTTTGAGTCTCGCAGCACCAAAGGATTGCGTTGATCCCCACATAGGTTTGTCTGCAAATAGGATGCCGACCCCTAAATCTGCAGCTTTCCCGTCCTGTTTCCTATTGGAATGGCCATAGATAAGGTAAATCCCCCATTTTCAGACTGAAACCCAGATAATTCTGGTTGGTATTGGTTGATTAGTTAAATCCTCATTAAATTCCTATACTTGTTGGTTAAATCCCCCATCAAATCAGACTTAAAGCCAGATGCCCCTCTTTTCGTATGGCAGAGGCAACGGGCTCACGCCCGAGGTGGCGTCGTTTGCACAGAAGCATGGCTTGACGCTGACGGCACAGGCGCTTGATGGGAGCGCCTCATGGTGGGCATTCTTGGGGCAGTTGAGGTTACCCCATGAGGATTTTCAACACATGGATTGTATGGTTATAACCACGTTTTTTTTTAAAATAACGTTAACCCAAAACTTATGGAGCTGCAGAAAAAGGGTATAACCTGGGATTTTGAAGCCACATAGTTGGGATCCGGGGCCCCTAAAACTATGGTCATAGTCATGTATATATCTACCTATAACTGGGAACTGCACTTCCAAGTTGGGAATAGCACAACTATTGAAATGTTGAACGAAAAGGACTGGATACTACTATTGAATTGGTGAATATCATTTTCCATCGTGGTAATCCGGATAAAACTATATATTGAATTTCGAATTGTTGCAGGATGAGGATATTATTATTGATACCAGTAGTACCGCACGAGGCGGTGGCGGAAGTTCCAAAAATAGGAAACCTATAGGAGAGGTTGGTTGTTGTGAATCACGGATGGCAGAGCGAATCCACTGATGGACCGAAAGGTGGTTGAGGTCTCCTCTCTTTCTCTCTCTTTCTCTGACTGTGTACCTACCTACCTACCTACCAATCTATCTATCTATCTATCTGTCTATCTATCTATCTATCTATCTGCAAGCTTGAAAACGACGCTATTCTGCGAGACCCCCTCAGTTTTTAAATTTGACAACATCAAACACGAACCAATTCAGCGAGACTTCCTCAATTTTTGCACTTGACAACATCAAAAACGAAGCAATTCTGCGAGACTTCCTATTTTTCTTAAGTTGCCAACATCAAAAACGGAAGAGTTCTGCGAGACTTCCTTCAAAAATGGAAAGTTGAGTGCAGAGCTGACGGCCTCGTACCAATGCGTTTTGCGATTTTTCCACTCCACCTGTCTAAAGTAGTGCGCCTGCCACGAAAAAGTGAGGCCAGGTCATACGAAGTGCTGCACCTGTCACGCAAAATCATCTCAGCAAACCTGAGGATCTGATTCTCCAAAATGCAACCTCTCTCAGGAAATGAGCGCCTGGACCTCCTAACATCTCGGATAAACATGTCTCTTGTACTGCGCTTGCCACGGAAAATGCATCTTTGCAGATCCTCTTCAAATGTCCCACGCCTGCCATCGTTCTTGGAAATGCCACAAAACCCTCACGGTTTGCTGACTTTTGACAAGGTCTACAATCCCTTGCGCCTGCCACGCGAAAGCACATCTGAACGTCCAAAAGTGGTCCGAACCCTGGTGCTTTTAACATTTTGACTTTGAAATGTGCTTCGCGCCACAACGGCGTGCACTTTTTCGACATCTCAACTTCCAAAAGTGGTCCGAGCATGGTGTGTTTGTTTTATACATTTTGACTTCGAAATGTGCTTCGCGCCAAAAACGGCGTGCACTTTTTCGACATCTCAACTTCCAAAAGTGGTCCGGAGCTGAGGTGTTTTGTACATTTTGACTTGGAAATGTGCTTCGCGCCACAACGGCGTGCAATTTTTCATCTCTCATCTGGCCAGCTGGCTCCGCACCCGCTGCTTTAGCGAGCCTACTTTTCGACCCTCTGGAGCCACAAATCATTGGAAAAACACAGTGTTTCGCGACTTTCTTACCTTTTCGCGCACCTGCATCTTCTTTCTTCTGACTCTTTCTCTTCTCTGATCTTCTCTCTTCTGCTCTTCTCTTCTGTATTCTTCTGCTCCACCTCTGCTTTTCATCTGTCCATATTGTCGGAAGTTTGACTTCTAAACTTTCTTCGCTTAACTGTTGAATAGTGATCCATATAGGAATTGGGAATTGGTGAATATTGTAAAGTAAGATCAAATAAATCCAACCAGCATACAGGTCTTGAGTTTTTTATATTGCAAACAGTTAACATATTTCTTGACTTTGATTCGGTTTCTATGGATTTCGGGACATGGTGTTGCCCGGCGTCAAGTCTACTAAAGAAAAGTTGTGAATAGATAAGGATGCCTGGCCAATTCATGCAATTAGCAAACCTGGCACCTTCGATGTGGAGTTTCAGTGCCAAACGTTCTTTTTTCGTTGTCACATCATCTCTGGTTGGTGGATTCAAAGATTTCTATGTGTTGTTGCAAAAATTGAGATGATGGTTAGCAGGAACTCATACGGTTTGATTGAAGATGGGGTACCCGGTACCCCATTGCATCCATTGGATATAGTTGGTTTGTTATATCCTCATTAAGCATCCACCCAATCATGGTTTTTGATGCTTCAATCCAAATATTTTTCAGGGGATGTGGCTCAACATCCAGAACTGCTGACTTGCCTCGGAGGAAGAGCTTCAGAAACTGCTCAATGCTTCAGTGACTTGGTAATAAAACTGGGATGTAACAGAGATGCATCCCATCAACAATGAGATATTTGGATGTGTGTGAACCGGGGGAACTATGGGTATTTCATTGAATCTAACGGGGGTTTAATGGGGGTGACATGGGATATATGTGCATAATCAATATATGTATTTGGGTGGGTTTGAAACGGGGTTCCTCCCCCAAACACATATTTTTGTGGGGAAAGTGATTATCAACCATTGGGTTTTGTGGTTTTTGCAGACACCCTCAAAACACCCAAGTGAACCCCTTCAACCATTTCTTAAGTTTCTTCTGGTCCTCTTGGGTTCTGGAGCATTTTGGAGTTCCTTTTCTGAAATCCAAAGATCTTCGTGTTGAGTTCCAATCTTGAGTCACATTGATCCCAAGGGAACCACCCCCAGACCAACAAGGTCAGCTTGGCGCAACGCCGTGTGACGGTCTCCGTGCCCGCTACGGTGGCCAATTTGGGACCTGGATTGGAGGTGGTTGGCATGGCCCGGGGCCAAGATTCGTTCGGTCATGAAATGTCTATGGTCATTGGGGTTGTATCCCGACAGCTACCAGGTGTAAGGAGATAAAATCGAATGCAGGAGCTATTTACATCGATGTCCTGTCTCCAAGCCCCAAATTGTAGAGTTTCACCTCCCAAGAACGACCACGCATTTGTCAGTCCAGAATGGTACCCGCAGTTGTTTTGGATCCGCTTTTCTCGGCACTTCCAGCGAGGCGGTGGATATTTGGGACGAGTTCACCTTAGAATTCGCTGATCACTTTAGCGTCGAGATTCATGGATTGGACACTCCTGAGGTGGGTGTCTCAAAAAACGACTGAGATTTCAGGGGGCGAATGGTTGAAGTGAGTGGTTTTTGGTTGAGAAGTGGTTTCAAATCCCAGTTGGATAGTGTGGACAAATCAGGATATATCGAACAAGCCATGTTTTGTTGATTGAAAGGCACAGGGACTGTAATGGCAACGTTAAGACCGAAAGACGCAAGAGGGCTTCGTGATGTGCCAATCGAGATGCTTTCTTGTATTGGTGGGTTTTTCTCACAATCCTTCTGTGGCAAGGTGCCCCGGAATGAGGAAAACTTGGTTGTGCAGGGTGCAGCCAGTGCCTTCAAGGCTCGTCCAGTTGACGAGAATATCTGGCATCTTTCGAGCCACGAACTGATTGATTTTTCAGAAAGCTACGGATCAAAATCATGCAAATAGCTAGTAAATGGACGTTATCGGAGGCAATTTTGCATTCATATGCTGAAAAGGAAATCTTGGGAGGAGTCAGGGAAGCGTGGAATTCAGATCTGCATGCGTCTTTAAAATAGAACAGTGCCAGAATTGCATATTTCTCGCTCAAACTTACAAAAGGGTCTCGCTGTTCAAATGTGTTGTTTCGTACCAGGAGGCCTGCCGGCCTTTCCCTACCATGCACTTCATCTGCGAGCATCGAATACCTTATGACAAGGCCTGGGCAGTCTATGACGTCCAGTCGCAGATGAACCACATTCCTTTTTTTGTTCACCATGGTTCACCTTCCAAATTTTGAAATAAGTAAGTAGATCCCCATCAGAAGATTTTGAGTTTGTTTGAAAATAGGGTAGCCCCAAATCCACTGGTGAATCATCATTTTCCGTAGTACAATGGCCGGAAATTCAGGGCCAATCCCCACTTCAACCACATCCTATTGTGATATTGTTGGGTGTATACCGCTCTTCTTCCCTCTTATCCCAGAGGATTTCATTATTATATCATTTATATCATTATACCAGTAGTACCCGCACGAGGCAGTTCGGAAGTTGCCTCAGGGTTATACAATAAGACCTTTCTCATCTATAGAACTTGCATGCGCCGTGCGCCAGCCAGGCCCGTGCGTGCTTTGTGCGAACCTGTTGCACTGTTGTTGTACAAGAACATGGCCTGCGCGCGACCCCGGTGCAATGCAACTCCAAGCGAACACTTTCTTCACACTTCACAGTGCACCCTTCACTACCCGCACTTCATACTTCACACTTCGCACTTCACACTCTCATCACGTCTCATCTCATCTGAGCTCTTCTCACCTCATCTCACCTCATCTCAGCTCTTCTCACACGTCGTCTAAGTAAGTTCTTCTCAACTGTTTTCATCTCATCCGAGCACTGATCAACCTTTCTTATCTCCTCGAAGGTCTTCTCAACTCATCTCAGCTCTTCTGCACGCCAGAGCTCTTAGTGTCAGAGAGAAGTCTCGTGCACCAAAAAAACCATTGCGCGCCGAAAGCTTTTCCACACAGAAGCTTGGGACACAGATGCATTTACGCAGAAAAGCCTTTACAGAATACTTTCTACTACAAAGCTTGCGCGAAGCATTTCCCAGTACTACTTTGTACTACAAAGCTTGCGCAAAGTAATTCCCAGTACTACTTTGTACTACAAAGCATGCACAAAGTACTTTCCAGTACTACTTTGTGCTAAAAAGCTTGCACAAAGTAATTCCCAGTACTACTTTGTACTAGAAAGCTTGCACAAAGTACTTCCCAGTACTACTTTGTACTACAAAGCTTGCACAAAGCACGTCCCAGTACTACATTGTAATACAAAGCTTGCGCGAAGTACTTCCCAGTACTGCTTTGTACTACAAAGCTTGCACAAAGCACGTCCCAGTACTGCTTTGTACTGCAAAGCTTGCACAAAGCACGTCCCAGTACTGCTTTGTACTACAAAGCTCGCCAAAAGAATGTCCCTGTACTATCTTGTACTACAAAGCTTGCACAAAGCACGTCCCAGTACTACTTTGTACAGCCAGTACAATGCGTTTGGCAGCATCACGTGGCTAACCTGCATGTACCTACACACGTGGGAACAGAACATGACAACAATGATGCAGCCATTACACTGCGATCTGCAACCAGAGATTCAGCAAACGCATAGATCTACGCACACGTGACCAACCACACGTTGCAGAACACCAAGGGAGAACCGATTACGCCCGAAACGATCCAACCGCACCCGCCGCACACACAGACACAAGGTATACTCTTCACCTTCATCGCCGGCTGCAGCCACTTTGTAAACACAAGGTTTCGTGCTCCGGCTTCCTCCCGACAACAAGGCCCATGCAACAGTCATGCAGCCATTACAATGCGTTTTGCAGCAACACGTACCCATCCATGCAGCCATTACAATGCGATTTGCATCCACACCTTGCAGAACACCAAGTGAGAACCGATTACGCCCGAAACGGTCCAACCGCACCTGCCGCACACACACACACAAGGTACCCTTCACCTTCATCGCCGCCTGCAGCCACTTTACACGGAAAAGCACAAGGTTTCGTCCTCCGGCTTCCTCCCCACAACAAGCCCCATGCAACAGTCATGCAGCCATTACAATGCGTCCATGCAGCCATTACAATGCAATTTGCATCCACACGTTGCAGAACACCACGGGAGAACCGATTACGCCCGGAAGGATCCAAACGGCACCTGCCGCACACACAAGGTACCCTTCATCGCTGCCTGCAGCCACTTTACACAGAAAAACACGAGGTTTCGTGCTCCGGCTTCCTCAAGCCCCATGCAACATTCATGCAGCACCCTTCGTCAGATGTATTTTGTTCTGTGATGTATTTTGTTGTGTGATGTATTCTTGTGTGATGTATTGTTGTGCGATGTATTGTTATGTGCTGTATTGTTGTGTGATGTATTGTTGTGTGATGTATTGTTATGCGGTGTATTGCTATGTGATGTATTGTTAAGCGATGCATTGTTATGTGATGTATGGTCACCACTTCACCGCCCTTCGTCAGATGTATTGTTGTGTGATGTATTGGTATGTGATGTATAGTCTTGCAGTTCTATTTATCCGTAACTCGGAAGGTTGCTTCCCAACTTCCTGGATTATATATATATATATTTATATTCTAGTCTTATTTATTGATGATGTTCTTGGGGTCCAAGATGTAATTTTTAGCTGAGACCAGCTGTGACACAGGGCCTGGGTGCGGCGAGCGCGGCTTTTGTCGGTGGCTTCCTGGCCGGATCGGTGCTTTGTGCGGAGGTGCCGGGGGAGGTTGGCCCTTGATGGTGGCTAGTGGGCTGAGGGAATAAAGGGGATGGTACGGATATCTTTATGTATAGTAGATATGGTATTTAATACATATGCATATATATATATACATGTACATATGTATATATGAAAAAAACGTATACATTTGTATCTAAATCTATGTCTGCATAGATAGATAGATAGATCGATAGATAGATAGGTAGATAGATAGATAGACATGTAACATGGTTTTATGTTAATACATCAAAAGGCAGAGACATACCTAGACAGATAGCCCTAAAGAAAGAAAGAAAGAAAGAACAAAAGTGAGAAAGAAGGAAGGAAGGAAGGAAAGACAGAAAAAGAAAGAAAAAGAAAGAAAGAAAGAAAGAAAGAAAGAAAAAAGAAAGAAGAAAGAAAGAAAGAAAGAAAGAAAGAAAGAAAGAAAAGAAATAAAGAAAGAAAGAAAGAAAGAAAAGAAAGAAAGAAAGAAAGAAAGAAAGAAAAAAAGAAAAGAAAGAAAGACAGAAAGAAAGAAAGAAAGAAAGAAAGAAAAAAAAAAGAAAAAAAAAAGACAGACGGACAGACGGACAGACAGACAGACAGACAGACAGATAGATGAACAAATAGACAAATAAATGCTCAATATCACAATCATACACACGTACGTATATATCGGGCTGGATTAGCCTGTGGAATTCATTCGAACAATGACTCTGCCGCAACGCCGTGCGTTACTGAGTGCAGGAGTTAAAAAAAAATTATGCATACACGCATACCCCCATAACAGAGATATCCTGATGATCCTGGGGTGACGCTTCACATGCAAAGGAGCTGCGACATTTGGAAAAATCCACAGCACCTCAGCTGCAATGAACCCCTCGGTTGCTAGGTGCCGAGACTAGATTTGCATATTCCAGCGGCATAGTGTTTTGCTGCCTCGTGGCTGGGTCAGTGATTTGTGCTCAGGACCTATTTGTCGTAGGTTGGCATTCGAAGGTGGCTACTGGGGGATGATATGCATGGTAGTTAGATGGTGTATGATTACCAATGCTAGGACGGCCTAAACCCCATCAATGACGGTTCGCATAATCCAATGTGTGTGTATGTGTGTACATGTAAAGATAGATGTAAGGATAGATAGATAGATAAGATAAGATAAGATAGATAGATAGATAGACAGATAGATAAATAGATTAGATAGATAGATAGATAGATAGATAGATAGATAGATAGATAGATAGCTAGCTAGATAGATAGATAGATAGATAGATAAGATTTAGATTAGATTAGATTAGATTAGATTAGATTAGATTAGATTAGATTAGATTAGATAGATAGATAGATAGATAGATAGATATGTGCATGTGTGTACATGTGTGTACATGTGTGTACATGTGTACATGTTTACATGTTTACATGTTTACACACATACAGGCATGTTTTCCTCCAGAACGGTTGAGTGGTTGGATCTGCATTGCCCCATGCGCTGTTCTATTTGTTGACTGTGCATATACAACTGTATATGTATAGGTACATATACACAGCCATACATCCATACATCGTTACATCCATACATCATACATACGTACCTGTACATAGGTGCATAGATAGAGAGGCAGGTAGACAGACAGACAGATAGATAGATCGGAAATAGGTAGATAGACAGGTAGATAGATAGATAAACATATGGATAGACAAACAAAGAGACGGACGGATGGACGGACAGACAGGGATGCATGCAGGCAGGTAGGTTGATAGATAGACAGATAGATACATGTACACATTAATAGTGTCATATGTATATACCTGCACCTGCACCCTCTTTTCTTGAATGCCCTGCTGATTCTGGGATGACCCTTCACATGCAAAGGAACTGCGACATTTGGAAAAATCCACAGCACCTCAGCTGCGATGAACCAATGGATAGGGGTCCCCAAGTACCCTGATGAATACACAAACATGCTTAGACTGAATCTCGCAATACCATTACAATTGCCCAACAATGTGTTGGTTCGTTTCTGAGATATCTAATTGAGTCTAACAACCATGTCCAAAAATGGGGTGCCCCATTCCATCCCATGATTTATGTTTTCATGTTCCCATTTTTTGATGGCCATGAAAGGGTTATTTTGCAAGAAATATCTGAAGATCCTTCCCTGGCAACCAAGGAAAAGTGGACCGGTCGGTCCAATTCCAAAGAAGGTTTGGATGTGGTTGCGGTCTCAGGACGCATCAGTACGACTGCCATGTAGGGTCGAGTTCGCATGAAATTTGGCTGGAAAATCCCCATTCAGTTCGGTGTTTTCCCAGTGAAGTGCCAACTCATGGTGGATTTTCCCAGTTGTGTTTGACAAAGGGTGATCAAATATGGTTGATAATCCTATGAGATCCCAAGTACATCCCAAGTATATCCCAAATATATATCCCCATTATATCCCCGTATCTGTGTTGGTTAAATAAACCATCACCGGGTGGGTTTTCCTCCGCCTGGGCCCCCGGCGGCTGAGGTCGACTGTAGTGCGCCCACCAACGCTGATGGGGTGGAAGCGCTCCTGGAAGCGCCCAAAGCCCAGCCGATTTTTGGGATGAAAAATGGCCAACTCCGTGAAAAAATGGTGGATTTAAGTGACATTTAAGTGACAAAAATCGGAGGGATTTGTGATGGAGATGTACCAGGGGATACATTGGTATATGTTGAAAATGGGGGAGCTCCTTTTATATAGTAGGAACATGTTAAGTCAAGTTATGGGTTATGGGATACCTAACTTTTGAACAAAACCATGGTTCACTGGTTTCCAGTCCCCTGGCTGTGCGGGTGCACGGCTTTCACCGTGAACTGAGGGCCATCGCTCGAGGTTGGAATCCTGGAAATGTGTGCGAAACTCATTGGATTTCCCAGCCAGCATTGACCTCATTTGGGTGTCAGATGTGTGACCCTTAGGTGTCCTGCGATCTATGGGGCGATACAGGTGGCTCTGTTTTTTTGGCATGATATATGTGTTGAGCTTATCCCAAAATGGGATGGTGTACCCAATTTACTCCAGCGATCTGGAAATCACGATGAAAATTGAGGTTCTTCGATTTTCACCCATACCTGCGTCTGAGTCTGTGTGACTGATCCTTCAAAGTTCTCCAGAGTCATGAAGCTTGGTCAGATCGGCATCAACACTCCGAATGGAATGCGATCTCATCGGGCGCCCTGGCTGCTGTTCTTAAAACCGCGCCCGAAAAAGTCCTTGATTCAGTGGCAGGCTGCAGTTTTGCACCCCAAACTTCTAGGAGAATCTAGTGTAAAAGTAGTAACTTAGAATTGGGAACACCAACGGTTTGGGGTACAAGTGCCTTGATGTTGTAAACTTCTGAAAGGCTTTTCGCAGCCCCCCGCTGCATGAAAGGTACCGTGTCCACATGGCCTTGTTCTTTGCCTCTTCGTGCCGGATGGGCAGGTAGCTGCACCCGCAGTGCTGATTCTTTTGAGATTCAGGGTCCCGCACAAGGGTCCCCCAAAGTGTAGGTAAATTGGCTTACAACCAGGTTAATTAGGACTTGTGGTGGGTACATCTCCAGGCGGGCGTAACATTTTTCCCCAATTGATAGGGGGGGGTGCCCTTCTGGCAGTCCCCTGAGCCAGGAAGAGGAGACGGGTTTGGAGATGGAGTTGGTGGATCGCCAGAAAGCCATTTTCAACGCCTTGCCCTGAGATGTTTCGGAGATTCCTCGGGGAAGCTGCGGCCCATGGGATTGATCCCAGGTGGGACGGGTGGCGTTGCTGATCAACGTGTTCTCCACACAGGACTTCTCCAAGTTCCAGAAGGCTGGAGAGTGGCGGGTGAAACAGCCACAAGAGTCGTTTTTTTTTGGCACAGGATTGGATTGTACCTCCAAAGATTGTGTTTGATGGTAGTTCAGTCCCAAAGTGATGGAAAACACCCTGCTGACATTTGTACGGAAAAAATCGTACAGATGCACATGGATTGAGCATGACTGAGCCAAAGATGCTGCTTCATGGAGGTCACTCTATTGATATTAAAAGTTGCTTCATGGGAGGAGAGCTTGCTGCCATGCCAATCGTCAGGCGTCAGAGGATTCTCTGGCTCTGTCACGGGCTTTGAGACGTGACGTCGCCCTGCAAAGATGTGGGTTAACGTGGACACCGCTCAAATTGGGACGGCAGACATGTGGATGCCCAAAAACGGAGACTGGATGAAAGAAAGTAGGGAATCCAAAGGGACTTTTCCTGCCAGAAGAGATTTGCAACGAAGTGAGCAACATTTGTTTGACACCCAACAAGGCCTCACATTGCTGGGAAATTTCCGTACATCAAGGGGGTGTGCCAAGCAGCCCGGGGACCAAGTTCTTTGGTGCTTTTCAAAGCCATTGAAGGCTTGATCACAGGATCCAGAAAGAAGCAAATAGATCCAATAACAAACCAGGGGTTTGTACGGGTATTTAAAGAGGGGGATGGATGGGATTATATATACAATTATATATATATATTCACGAAATGCTGCCTGTTCGAGATGTATTCAACAGTCATGCTCCCAGCGGTCTCATGTTACCTTCCTGCAGCCGATGGGGAAGGCTCAGGAGTGCCTGTGGAGGGCGGGATTCATCGCCTTGGCGCCATAGGAGGAAAAGCTGCGGATCATTTGGTGCAGGGCATCAGGTTAACTATTTGGTGTGGTTCATCAACATCTTGTCGGGGACAAGGACTTCATCCATCAATAGATCAGGGATCTATCAACCCTTTTGGCACCTCCCTACCATATCCTTTGTGATTGGTAGCGGAGCACTGGCTCCGATTGCTCCCAGGGACATTCAGGTGTTTGTCAAGTGTGTTCGCTTGCTGTGAACTTCGAGGCGAAGGTCAACATGAGTGAGACATCTGGGGGTGAAAGAGACTTTGGAGTTCCGAAGGAACTCGCCAGCCTGGTTCCAAGTTTTGATCCTGCTACCGACAATGTAGAGATCTGGACTAGCAAAGTTGAGCTTTTGGTCACCACATGGCCAGCTTCCAAGCTATCAGAACTTGCTACTCGCCTGATTCTGAACTGCAAGGGAACAGCATACCAGAAGTTGCAACTGAATCGCAAAGAATTGCTTGTCAATGATCCGGCCGGGATCAAGAAACTGGTAGAATTGGTAGGAGGCACGTGGGGCCAAATCCCACTTGAGAAGAAGTTTGAACTTGCCGAGAAAGCCTTATACCGAGGAAGCCAGAAATCCGATGAAAGCTCAGAGAGCTACCTCAGCCGCTGTGATGTCGTGTGGTCAGAACTTTTGGCCAAACAAGTGTCGCTCCAGGAGATGCAGGCATACATAGTTCTCCGAGGAAGCAAGCTTTCCTCTGAGGACAAGAAGCGCGTGATCGTCGAGTCCAAGGCCGAGAAGGGAGGTGAACTGAAAATGAACGAAGTTTCAGCAGCCATCCGAATGCTAGGCTCTGGATTTTTCCAGGAGTACACAGGTGCTCGACGTGACAAAGGTCAAAAGACGTATGATCATACCGCCTTTGCCGCTGAGGATGAACCGGAAATCGAAGGTGAGGTGTTTTTCTCACATGAAGACGTGGCTGAGGACGACATCCTTGAAACCTTAGCAGCAGAGAATGATGAGGATGCAATCATGGTGATGCAGTTTGAAGACTCGATCTCAGAAACAATTCAGAATGATTCAGAACTGTCAGCATACTACAGCACATATCAAGAGGCACGTCGCCGATTGAATGAACGTGTGAAGGTTCGAGGTTTCTGGCCAGTTCGACGTTTTGAGAAAGGTAAGAACAAGAACAAAGGAAAGAGCAAGGGAAAAGGATTGTTTTCTGGACCTGGTGCATTGGCTCGTCGTATAGCCAACAGTTTCTGTAGGATTTGTCTGCAGAAAGGGCATTGGAAAAATGAATGCCCCCAGCGTTCCAGTCAGCCGTCTGGATCTCAATCAAGTGCTGCCGCAACCTCAGCTCCGACATCATTCGTGGTGGTGGAAGACACCGTCCCAACCGAGATTGCCCACATGGCCATCGCTGAAGACCAGGACTTCCAACGACCAAAGAAGTGGGGTAATCAAGTTAATGGGATAAGCAACTGGGGTAAATGGGATAAATGGGGTTTCATGCAACGCTTCCAAACCAATCTGAAGCATGCCGTCAGGAAAATGATGCCTTCTGATCCGAGGAAAATTGCTCCGATCAATGCCAGACAGCAGAAACCTGCCGTCATTGCCAGTCCCGAGGAACCGATGACAGTTCCCAATACATGTGATGCGCTGTTTGCCACCACAGGGTCCATAGGGATAGTTGACTTAGGAGCTTCTCAAACTGTAGTGGGTGACCATCAAATTGGGGAGATCCTTCAAAGCTTGCCTGAACAGATCCGTGAACGAGTCAAGCGCACCACATGTAATTTGACCTTTAGGTTTGGAAATCAGCAGACTCTTTGCAGTCGTCATGCCATTTTGCTGCCACTTGGGGAGACCTTTTTCCGAATAGCCATTGTGCCTGGCAAGACACCGTTTTTACTGTCGAGCTCATTTCTCAAGGGAATTGGTGCGGTTATTGACACTGAAGAAGGAACCATGTGGAGCAAGAAATTGCAAAAACAACTGGTTGTGGAACAAACCTCAAAGAACTTGTTCATGATGGATATTAATCAACTATGGAAACCTGAGCCCCAAGAGCAGCAGGTACAGAACTCGTATGTTGCTGGACTGATTCAATCAAGTGAGTCGTGCCCAAAGGAGCAGCCGCGCGATCATTCATCAGTTGATAGTGAATCCACTCAGGTTAAAGGTTCACAGGTATCAGAATGCCAAGTGTCCGAGCAGGGAACTTCCGATGCCTTTCCGAGTGTCATGTCCACAGTCAAGTCAGTAGCAACGTGTGCCCAAGAGTTGAAGTCTTGCCCACCAGCCGTTCCAAGTGTCCCGAGTTTGTCTGATGGCGTCAGTGTCGCAGCAACTGGCCAAGTTCCGAGAGTCGCAGAAGAAGTCAGACCAGGCAACCGACCTGGTGAAGATCGAGGCCATGAGCTTAGACCAACTGGCCAAGCAGAAGATTGCCTTTGGAAAGGCAAAACTGAACCAGGAATTTCCAAAGGTGTTCGAGGATCACTCATGGACGGATTGGTTCGTGACCACATACGAGAAGAGCCCGAAGCCCGAACACCAAATGTACATCAAGTATGTGGAGAAACGTCTGACTCAGGAAATTCCGAAGACTCAGCCCACCAGTGCCAACTGCAAGAAGATGTCCAAGACCGATCGAGTGAACCCGACTCCAACCGAGTCGGAAGCCTGGGATCATTTGTCCGAACCCGAGACAATGCAGGAGTTCGAGATTCCAGGAGTCACGAAGGTGCAGCAAATGGAGGAACAGATGGCCTACATGCAGATCGAGAACAAGAACATGTCAGACCGTGTAGCCCAGATCGAGATGCACATGATGGAGGTCCTCCAACATCTTCGAGGGTTGAGTGTGAAGGCCGAGCCGTAGAGTCAGCTGCCAATGCCCAGGAATGTGAAGTCAGTCGGCCAGATCTTGACTTTGAGTTCTTAGGACCATACGACTCTCAAGGGTATCATGCCATGATTAAGAAATATGTGCATCAGTTTTCCAAAGAACTGTCCAAAGTACAAGCCGCCTGCCAGACTGTCAAGCGACATGGGCCCCGGCTAGATTTGCTGGAAGTCATGTGCTCCGAACAAAGTGAGCTGACTAAACAAGTGCAACGACTAGGAGGGAAGGCACAAAGGTTTGGGAAGGTTCAAGGTGACTTGAAAACTACCGAAGGAAGAAACAGACTGTTCAATGTGATGGTTGCTCATCGACCCCGCCATCTATGGTACAGCCCTGAATGTGGTCCATGGTGTCAATGGAGTAACATGAACATGAGTAAATCAGTCACCGCATGTGAAGCCATCCTGACGAAGCGCCGTGAACAAATCTGGCAAGTTGCACTTGGCATAGTGTTGTTCAGGTTTCAAGAAGAAAACAAAGCTCACTTTGACATGGAGCAGCCGAGGGGTTCTGCACTCTGGAAGACTCCTGGAATGTCCGAAATTCGTGAGAACACACTCTGGAATGAATTTGACATGTGCAGAATTGGTGATCTTCGAGATCCTCAGACCCAGGAGCCGATACGGAAACGCATGACCGTGTGTTCCACATCAGTAGACCTCCACCTAGCTCTTCATGGGAAACTGTGCTCTGGTGAACATCATCACCGCCCAATTGCAGGGAACACACATGTTGATGGACACTGTGTAAAATTGTCTCAATGGACTGAACTGTACCCCCAGAAATTTGCACGTCAAGTAGCCAAAGTTTTGATCCATGAGTCCAGCAATCCACAGTTGTCTTTTGCAGGTGATGTTGATGAACACCCAACGAAGAAACGCAGATTAGGCGGTAAGATGAGTCCAGAAGCCATTGCAGCACGTTTCAACCAGAGCTCAGGCGTTAGTTGGCAGCAAGCGATGCAAGTGGCTGACCACAATGCACCACGAGTGGGAACACTTGTGATTGATGCAGGTGAACTTATCCAAGTGGTTCAACGACTCTGCCCTGAAAAGAAAATTCACCATGTGGTTTTATGCCGAGGTACTGACCGATATGTGGGTCCCAACAAAAGCATGTTGCCAGGTCTAGCTCCATTGAGACGTCAAATATGCATTCGCCGACATTCCACTGAAATCCATGTTGATGATTGGGAACCATGGGAAAGGTTGTCACAGAGGAAACTCCGAAGAAAAGGGGTACCTGCCAGAGTAAGCATGACCGTGTTTGCTGCCCCAGCACAATCACCAGGCGTTCCCAAGATAACCAACATGATAAGGTCCCCAACATCACTTCAGAAGATAACCATCATGATCACCACGATGATGTAACACCAATTCAAACTCCAAATGCAACCGATGAACCTGAGAATCAATCCACCCAACAAGTCATTGACCTTGCCAGTCATAAGCATGGGCCATTATTCATGCAATTGACGGCTGAAGAACAAGCCTGGCTTCTCAAGTTGCACAGAAATTTGGGACACCCAGGTAGTGCAAAGCTGTCCGAATTTTGCAGGCAATTGAAGTGCCCAGAGCACCTTTTGAAAGCCATCAACGACATTCGCTGCTCAACATGTCAGGAGATCAAGGGACCAACAATATCCCGACCAAGTGCGATACATGAGCCATGTGATTTTGGTGATGTTGTATCCATGGATGGGGTGGTATGGACAAATTCTCAAGGAGAGCAGTTTTTCTTTTACCACTTTTTGGACCAGAGCACCATGTTTCAAACGGCAGTGGTCACACCATCTCACACGGCAGAGCAGGCATGTCGATCACTTTTGATGGGTTGGCTGAACTGGGCAGGACCACCGGGTCTACTTTGTTTTGATGCAGGGACCGAGCTGAACTCTGATGAGTTCGGGAACTTCCTTCAAAGGCACAGCATCAGAAGTAGGACTTGTGCTGCAGAAGCTCACTGGCAAAATGCCAGGACGGAACGTCATGGAGGGATCTTACAAGTCATGCTGAACAAGATAGATGCCGAACACTCCATCCACACATATGACCAGTTAGCATCAGCATTGAGCCATGCCACTGGTACCAAAAACCAGTGGAGCAGACATCGGGGATACCCTCCTGAATTGCTTGTGTTTGGAAAAGGAATAAGGGTCCCGGGTTCCGTCACATCAGACCCGTCAGTGTCAGCCCATGCAACAGCTATTTCCAATCTGCCTGAGGGTGCTAGGTTCCGACAGGACTTAGCTGTCAGAGAAGCCGCTCGCAGAGCCTTTGCCACAGTGGACAATGACCAAACCATGCGGAGGGCAATAGTTCACAGAAGTAGGCCACACAGGGGTTTCTTTGAAAAGGGAGATTGGGTAATGATGTGGAAAAAGAAGGGAGAATCAGACGGAGGCTGGATTGGCCCTATGCAGGTAATCATCCAAGAAAACCAGAACATAGTCTGGGTCACCCGACAGAACAAACTATACCGTGTGGCACCTGAACATGTTCGCTCCCTCTCGGCCATGGAAGAATTCCGAAATTCCCCAGAACTTGCCCACAATAATCATCATAATCCTTCCAGTGTCATCCCTTCTCATGGAGGAGTTCAATTTCATAACTTGACAAACACTAACCTTCAAGATAATTCCCGAAATCAAATTCCAACGGATGCTTCCAGTGACAGGGCCAACATTGAGCCACATCAGGTTCCTGCCGACGTTGGAGCAATTCCCAGCGTAGCCTCGCAGTCTGATCCAAACATCGACCAATTGCAGACACCGGAACAACCCGATGGTGAACCTGAAGCTCCATCAACTCCCGCTGACAGCCAGCAGGAAAGGTCTGAAGAAATTCAAGACCTCAACCGGAGAGCCATAGACACTCCAGTTCCCGAAACTTCAGATGAAGAAACTGGTTTGTATTGTGAGGAAGAAAATTGTTTTGTCTTGCAAGAACACCAGGGATATCGTTTTGAAGTCAATATCAACCAACGAGATATCGACCACTGGAAAGAAGAAACCAGACCGAGTGACATGGCTTTCCTTGTGTCAGCTGCCAAGAGACAAAGGAGCGAGGTGAAAATCTCCAACTTGAGTGCTTCTGAAAGGAAAATGTTTGAAAATGCCAAGGACAAAGAGGTCAATAGTTGGTTAGCTACAGAAACTGTTTCCAAAATCTTGCGACATCAGGTGCCTCAAGAGAACATACTTCGATGCCGCTGGATCTTAACATGGAAGGATGTGGACAACGCTGAGACCTCAAGTTCTGACAAGACCATCAACCCGATGGCCAACAAAGTTCCGAATCGACAGGTGCCAAAGGCCCGGCTTGTTGTACTAGGATTTGAAGACCCTCTTGTGGACCAAATTCCAAGAGACTCACCTACGATGTCCAAACTGTCAAGAGTCTTGATCATGCAGCATGCCGCAAGCATGAAATGGACAATTCATAGTTTTGACATCAAGACTGCATTCCTCAGAGGAACTGAAGAAAGCACTAGAGTTTTGGGAATGGAACCTCCACAAGAAATGAGAGAAAAGATGAAACTAGGGCCCAATGAGATTGTCAGGTTGCTCAAAGGGGCATACGGTAGGGTAGATGCACCTTTCCTTTGGTTCCGAGAGCTTAAGCAAAGCTTGGAACAACTAGGATTTTGCTCTGCACCGTTCGATCCCTGCACCTTTGTTTTGCGTGACAGCCAACAGAGAACTGAAGGCCTCATCGGCATCCATGTTGACGATGGCTTGTGCTGTGGATCAGCCCGATTCCACCAGAAATTGGCTGAACTTGAACGAAAATATCCTTTTGGAAGTAAGAAAAGCAGGAATTTCACTTTCACCGGATTGAAAATCACACAAAAGGAGGATTACTCGATTTGGGTCAACCAAGATCAATATGTCAAAGATATACATCCAATCAACATTTCCAAAATCCGAAAGAATACTCCCAATGAAACAGTCACTGAACTTGAACGCCAGGGTTTGCGGGCTTTGGTAGGATCACTACAATATGCTGCCACCAACACACGACCTGATTTGTGTAGTCGCCTGGGATATCTGCAAAGCCACATTAACAAAGCCAAAATTTCCACTTTACTCGAAGCCAACAAAATTTTACATGAAGCCAAAATTCACAGTAACGTGACCATCAAAATTCAATCAATTCCAATCAATGATTTGCGTTTTGTTGCGTTTTCCGATGCCTCATTCGCGTCAGCCAAAACGTTGGATTCCCACCAAGGTATGATCATTATGGCCAGCCACAAGTCAATCGGAGAAAATCAAAATTGCTCAGTGAACCCAATCATATGGCATTCCAAGAAAATTCAAAAGGTAGTGGTAAGCACATTATCTGCTGAAGCCATGTCGCTGGCCGGAGCCGTTGACATACTTTCATGGACCCGCCTGTATTGGGCTTGGCTGAGAGATGGAAATTTCAAGTGGCAGATGGCAGACGAAGAAATGCTCAAACTGCCACCGGCATTCGCTGCAATTCCACCCACGGATGACCAAAAGGCTGCAACACCACCATTACCAGTTCAAGATATCCTCAAGAAACTTAACCCCAAAGCTCAATCTATAATCACCACTGACTGTAAATCACTTTACGATCTCATCAGCCGTCATGCACCCCCAAGTTGCCAAGAGTTCCGAACGCTACTGCAAGCAAAGTTAATCAAAGAGCACATCAACAATGGCATACAGATACGATGGGTACCATCACAAGCACAGTTGGCAGATGCCTTGACCAAAATCATGGACCCGAGCGTCCTCCGTGAATGCCTTTCCATTGGCCGGTACAGCCTCCATGACGAGGCCCAAATTTTGCGCGAGAGATCCGATTCCAGAGCAAGACTTCAATGGTTGAGAAATATGACGCATGGTTCCAATGGGGAACAAGCATCAGAGTGAAGGAAAAGCCAAGTCGTCTTTCATTTTTTTGGTTTTGCTTGGAAAATACAAATGGGTACAAAGTGAACTTGAGAAGTATTCTTTCCATCCAATCATCTCGAACATTTTTATAGAAGAGAACGAATCACGAAATGCTGCCTGTTCGAGATGTATTCAACAGTCATGCTCCCAGCGGTCTCATGTTACCTTCCTGCAGCCGATGGGGAAGGCTCAGGAGTGCCTGTGGAGGGCGGGATTCATCGCCTTGGCGCCATAGGAGGAAAAACTGCGGATCATTTGGTGCAGGGCATCAGGTTAACTATTTGGTGTGGTTCATCAACATCTTGTCGGGGACAAGGACTTCATCCATCAATAGATCAGGGATCTATCAACCCTTTTGGCACCTCCCTACCATATCCTTTGTGAATATATATTTATTAATTTTGCATATAATCACGTGAGGTCATATAAACATATTATTCATATTAATCATATGCCACCACAACCGTCAAAAGACAGTCCATTTTGTGGGACACCGGGCCACTGTCACCAGCCATACCCATGACTCGGGGTATGTTTTTCGCCACCAGGCCCTCGCCGCTGGTGCTTCCGGCGCCTGTGCTGCTGGCTACGGCCCATCGGTGACCCTGGATGGAGTGATGGTGGGAAGTTCTCCAGGATTTATTTCCCATAATCCAGACATAGTGGAATTTAATCCAGATCATTTTCCAGACATAGTAAAATTTTCACCCATAAATGTGGTGTTGATGATTTTCCAGACAAAAAGTGGAATTTTTCCCCCAAAAATCCCATGTTTATGATGTTTATTTATATGTGTTTAGACAATGTCACATCATGTCTTTGATCTATTCCATCCTGAGACAGGAGACCTTCAGCGTATCCATCGCCATCTGGACCGAGGTACTGGCCTTGCTCCCAGGCAGAACTGGTGATGTTTTGGCGCAATCTGCGGGGGAACCCACGGGAATGGACCAGGGCTCCATTGGTGGGGTTTTCCCACATGGGCCCAGTTGAGGTGACATCATTTCACCATGAAAGGTGCCCTGTTAAGGTCATGACTGTCTCTTGGAGGTGCCCTAAAGATGGTAGGCTCCCTGCTTTGCAGATATTCGGCAAAGCCCTGCTTTGTCGCAAAAACCATGTTTTATTTGTGTGTGTGTGTGTTTTATTTCTTGGCACATTTTGAACAAAAAATCCCAAGTTTTCGCCCAAACAAGTGTTAGTGTTTTCTTTTCTCCACATTTTTTGGAGAAAGGGTTTTCTCCATGTTTTCCCCACAAAGTTCCGATTTTTCATCGACCCCCGAGGCCTCCAACCAGTTGGAGCAGGACGTGGCCAAGGCCATGTTGAAGGCCGCCGAGGAGAAGTCTATCTCAGGCGCTCCAAATCAGATGGGAGAACCCATGGGAAAACCATGAACGCACCATGGAGAGACACATTTCTTGGAATTTTCCATACGTTTTCAGTATATGTATATACAATACATGACATATACAACATATATATATATATGAGTTTTTGGAAACACCACCAAACAATTTAACTGGTTTATCATGATCTTCCTTATTGGCATGGCCATTTTGCGAACTGTGCAGTGAGGAGGACAACCCATATACAGCCATTTGTGGGTCCACAAGGATTCACAAAATTCAACTCTCCGAGGAAAAGGAAAGAAGAAAGATCCACGATGAACGAAGGGAAGAAAAGGACATGCATTCGTAGACAACAGAGTAACATGTTGGTACAAGAAAGACAAGACGGTGTGTGAGCCACATTAACGCCCAATGAAAGCATGAAGGGAACCAATCCACGGTGGTTGTAGTTCAGTGGCAGTTGTATGTTTGGAGCTAGATTTTTTTTCACCCTCTGGTGATCAAACATGGCCATGGAGAATCCAGCAATGTCCATTTCTAGATGATTTTCACACCAAACATGGGACCATTCCAGCCATGTTTGATTATCACCGGCTGCTCCTTTCAAGGTGATGTTCGTTACTTATAAGTTGGTTGATCAATTTGATAAACCCCATTCAATATAGATACATCTACCATAAATTCTAGTTTACCAACTTATATATATATATAAACCAACTTAGCTATGGGGCATCTCCTTGTGTAGCTTCAGCTTGATGTCAACTCGGTAGCCTTTCGCAGCAGGGCAGATTCTGATCGCCAAACCTTGCGATGTAGGGACCCTCAGGATTTCAGGCTGAAAAATCTGCTGGCAGATGATTTTCCAACAACTTTTTCAGGGGAACGTGTGGAATGTTCTTTTATAAGGGTTGGCACTCACTGATGATTCTAGTATATGGTTTCACAATGTTTCACATGGGTCTGTCTGAAAATGGGGATGCCGGGGATGCCCGTAAGGTGACATTTTTGCCGGGAGAGTTGCGCCAAGCTAGGTATTGGATCCTTGATGTAAGCATGCACTGCCGCAGAGCCGAACCCCAGCTGGGTGTCACCCCAAAATTCCATGAGCGTCGCACCTCGTTAGGTGGGAGCCCATGTGGTGGCACAGAAGTCTGCACTGGGCCCTGCGGATGAAAAGTCGCGAATCTCCTACTACCAGTAGCCTCAGCTGTAGCTCAGCTCACAGAGGGTCACCTTCACACAGTTTACAAGAGTTTCAACAGCCTCGAAGTGTCTTGAATCTTGAATTTGATTTGTTGCTGCAGAGTCCTAGAAGGCTTGACCCTTCATTTGGTTTTATCATAATACACCAAGCCAACCGCCCAAAGTGAGGCGGTCATTGGTTCATGTGGATGGCGCGTTACCATGATCCTCCAGAGATGCCCATGGCAAAACCTGATCTATTTCCTCCAAAATTCATCCCAAGGATGATATGGGTTTGTCTGAAAATAGGGTATATTCCCAATGAAATAGCCATTTAATAGGGATAATGATCAGCAAAACCATTGGGTGTAGGGGTACACCATTTTCAGACAAACCCATATAAAAACAGATAAAACAGCTTTGTCCGAAGAATCCCATTGTTGAAAAAATATTTCCCTCGGAAAACTGCCATTTTTGGGTTCTCATTCGTGGACAAGCTGAAACGGTTTATACCAGACCCAATGACCCATTTGGTTTCCTTTTGCTGCTGCGCCGCATCTCGCAGCAGATTTGAGCCAAGTGCATCAAAAGGCCGCCACGGTGGAGATTGGGAATTCGCTGTCTAAACAGCATCCTTTGACTTGGCCATGAACAAATGGAGGCAAGAATCGGCAAGAAGTGATTTTCTAAACCACGTGTCTTTTCCCAAAACTCTTGGGCGAACCCGACTAAACCTGGATGAAATAGAGATGTGGAGATCCTGGTGATAAACTGGCCAGGGTCAAATTGCAGCCGTCGAGGATTGCAGTACATGACCTGATCTGAATGCATTCGCAGTGCTTGGCAGAGAGCCAAGATTGATCTCAAGCCACATGATACAACGCACGCTATATGATGCAATGCGCGCACGTTGAATCATGAACAACACCCATCTATTTTTCATGAATACCATACCACAAAATCAGCGAAACTATTTACTGTACTCTCGAAATATAATCTTCTTCATTTGCTGAAGGTTGAAGCATCTAGAGATGTTGGAACATTTTAAGAAATTGGACCTGTCAATAACTTCAGGAGTAGCAAGGCAGACTTGCCTATCAGTGTCAAGAGGGAAAGCTTCTGAGTAGAGGATACAAAGAATAAACACCAATCATCATCAATCTGACATATCTCTGCAACTTATGCTTTGAATGCTTAGGAAATGCCACGTGCACCACACCAGACCGGTGCGTGGCGCATGCTGCATGTGTGTTTGCCATCGTGTTGGGATAGGCACAGATTTCTGTGGCATTTGGGACACAACTGGTGGGTTTTTGGACCATTAGTGTTTTCAGCCCCGAAAGTTGCAGGCCTCCTGGCGGTCTCTTAGACATGTTGGTTGACCCCAAACTCGGCCAAACAGATTCGGAGATCCTGCTGCATGGACCACCATGACCACGATGACTATGTTGGCTCCCGCATTGGACAAGCTGTATATATATGTAACCTGATGGACATGGACAATTAAGAGAAAGTACAGGCAACAGCTTCCGCCAGGGAAGAGCTTCAGTATTGACATGAAATTGACATGAAATTGACATGTACCAGTCTACACAAGTCCTTGCAATTCTTGAGGCTCGAGCTCTGAACACAGGCTACCCCTTGACGGTTGATCATATTTGTTCCATTAAAAAAATGGCACAAAGGGGCTGGAAAAAACCCCTTTTCAGACACCCACATTGCAAGTTGGATATAGTGACTCTGAATGTTTCCAAAAAAATCTCAATGAATATCCCATTAAATCCCAAATTTTCATGGTTAAATTCTCGTTGAGCCGCTTTTCCCGATCCCCCGGTGAGGTGGCTCTGACTTCTCCTTGCTTGAGCCTTCAGAGAAGGTTGGACCAAAGAGCTGATGAATGGGGACCGTTGGTGCTGAAGATATTTAGAAAAACCTCAAAACTGGATGAATAAGTACCAAAATGTAGAACACTTGAACGTTTGGTGGGTCAAGAACGACTCAATTTATTTGATGATTTCACTCCACAGATTGGGCCAATCGGTACCTCGTTCTTGAGTTTTTTCTCAGTTACCTGCAGCTCCTCATCAGAATGTGGTTTAGTTTTCTCAGTTTGTCTAATCATTGGGAGAAATGGCAAGTTTTCGCACTACAAACCAGAGGCAAACTCACAGCTCTCCAGGTTGAAGACCAGAGCACACGCGTCTGCGACTTGTTCGGCTCGTGACACCAGAGGGGTTGAACCCTGGCACTGGACTGTTCTAAGGGAATAAATACAAAGAACCATGATCTTATCCTATCTTTACCCTCAAATCTGTTGGGATTTCTTATAAAGTTTCCATCCAAGTCTGGGACTGGAGAAGACCCTTGTGATTGGCCAATGTCCAACAAATACCTCCAAGGCCTCTTCGCTTCGCACGTGCAGCCATGATGACATGAGTCCTGCCGCGCAGTCGGCCACTGCTGCACTCTTTGCAGCGGCGCAGGACTTATGTTTCGCTCATGCTTCGCTCATGTCAGAGTTGGCCCCAAGAACATTGAACATATTACTGACAGAAAGAGATTCACCATCTAGGTGCTGAGACCATAGGTAGAACAACAACAACAAACATGTTTTTGAAGTAGAAAAGCATTGGAGAGACCAACATGTCAAGATGCGGGGAAGGGCAGAGCTAGCACCATGAGGTTGCAGCAGCAACTGGGAAGCTTTATGCTGAGCCGGAAGAGGTTGGTTTGGCAGCTGACCGGGAACCAGGCCTAGCTTAAAGTACATATATAATATTCAATATATATATATATATTTATAATATTCAATATATATATATACACGTGCATTTTACTATTTTACCTGTGGAATTTGGCTTTCTTTGTTGGCAGTTGGAACTTCCTGTTGTCTCTAATCCAGTATTGTCATAAGCAAAAAAGGTCGGATGCTTAGGTTGCAGACACATCAGATAGGTAGCTAGAAGCTTAGGTAGGACAAGCAGATCATTTTCCTTGTCTTACATGGAGGTTTCCTAAAATGGGGTACCCACAAATCGTCCAAGTCAGACCATTTCATTATTGAAACCTAGGGTGACGTGGGGATCCACCATTTTAAGAACCCCCCTCTATATATATATATACATATATATATATGTATATAATTGTATATATATATATTATATGTATATATATACATATTATATATGGTAGATGTAACATACACATTACCAAAAGAAATCAATACCTAGACTTCGGAGCTGTCGATTCCGCGCAGGAAGCTGTTGAAGCTGAGCACGAGGCGCGCGATGCCGGTGCTGCGACCGACGCGATGGTGCGCCGATGCTGCTGGTGCTGTGGCTGTTGCGATGGATTAAGCCCTATGGGCCCAACACTTGGATGGAAGATAAGAACATGTTTTGCAATTTTACTAATTTTTACTGGGATTTTGGGATGAGTGATTGGGATCAAGTAAAATTCATAGGAAAAAGTTTGGGATAGCTTTTTGGGCCGATTTGTATTGCCATTTTGTGGCGGATGAACATCCATTTGGGGTAGCTACTTTAGAGCAGGGGCCCCTAGGGTCTTGAAGCATAGCCAATGTGATCCTCCTCCATTCGACAGGAAAAGCTGCACGTGATCAAACCTTGAGTTGTACCCAGGTGAAACATACATTTGCAGAGGGGTCTTCAATGCCCAGGTTTTGAGGGATGACTATGGATGACTGATCTCTGAGAGTTTGAAATATGTAAGTTTTAGAGCAATGGCACCCGATCACACCTGCTGACTTCGTTACTTCGTTCGTCAGGAGATAGATACTTCAACAATGCTTGCCATGTCATGGAAATGAGCAGCGAACTCCAACCTTTGTTTTTGTTCATCCCCTGGTGGAATACCTTTGTGGAGCTTTTTCAGTTTTCGCTGCGGACGATCACTGGATCGAATCTCTGTGCAGGTCAAAGAATTACGTGAGGCTTTGAAGGCCCTGTGTTCAGGGCCATCTGATATGATGTTACATGGATTTATATGGCCATATAGATTTTTCCATGATGATCTCAACTACCCCAAGGGACCCAAGGGATGTACATTGTCTCATATGCATAGAGTATGGGTTGATTGTTATATTCAATATTAATTACTTTAAGCAAGTATCTATCCAAGCATCTGATGGTCTGAAAGGATCCACGTGATTGATGTTTATGGATGTTTTCCAACGTGTCCACATTGAAACTACTATCAAAAAACATCCACTGGATGATTTCTCTGGTCTAAGAATCTCCATATTAGCTGATGAGTATCCAATCAAAGTGTGCAAACTTGGCTGAAGAGAAACAAAATCAAAGGACACTTTCCGACAATCTGAGGGAAGAACCGTGGTTTCCAGTCAATTTTCCAATTTTCCCTCTGACCAATCCATGGAAGGACCTCGAGAAGCGAACTGCACATGTGGTCAGACAGACGCGCGTGGTGGCCGCTGAGTGCTGTTGCCCAATTTTTTAGCGTTCAACCGGTGCTGATGGCCCATGGGAAAAAAATGGGGATTCACCAACAAAAATGGTGGGTATAATTGGGACATATAGGGTAACATATTTCCATCATCCAGGGGATCGCGGGATCGTCATCGATGAGTCAAAACGAGGTGCCGCGCGTTGGATGAGCGCATCGCAGGCAACATTTTTACCCATGATCCATCTGATGGAGTTTCGCTTTCGCCAGGGTTTCAACATGGTTCTGGAGATCGCATTTTCTGGCAAGTTTCATTGGGAAATGCTTTTCAAAGAAAATATTGACCATAATTTTTTGGGTACATCCAACTCTTAGTCAAAGCCACCCGGCTTTCACTTTCGTTTCTGCGATGGCAAAAACCCATATTGCAGATCTCTGGAGGACTTGCTGCCGCCCAAAGTCGAAGAGAGCTGGAAGTGGCAAGCGTATGGGAGGCTGGAAATGATCACTGCGAAATTTAGGTGTAACTATTGGCAGCCCAATTCCAGCCTATACCCTGTCTTGTTTTCCCTTGTTCTGTTGGTTTTCTTGGGGAGAAACAATATTCTGTAAAGTTGAAAGTCATCTCCTGCAAACAGTACAAAGTTGGATTCCAAGGTCTGCCAGTGTATCATCCTAGCGACGCACCGGGGGGTGAATTTCCGTGACTTAGGACCTCCAAGTGGCTCTTCGTCATGCGAAGGAGGTCCTACGCCATCAACAAGTGAAGCAGGAGCTCTGACCTGCAGATGTTGGCGAGTTTCGGTTCAAAGAGTTACTGGAGAAATCTGGAGAGTTGTTGGACCAGTGTTTTCATGTCCGAAGATTTCAAGAGATGCTGGAGACCCCAAAGGAGTTATCCTTCAGGCCTGAAGGTCCAACCTTTAGGGACTCCTTCCTCCAGGAACCTTCCCAAAGACGGGCGCAGATTGAAAAACTGCGGCAGGCTCTTGCTGCTTTGTCTGTTCTCATCCCTACGATCCAGTGTCAGTTGTTGATTTTTCATTTCTCTCTCATAGCTGAGTTGTAGCCTTGATTCTATCTGGGACTTGGCCAGTAGGGCTTCTACCATGTTCTACCCATGTTGCGGCCATGCCCCCCGTTACTTGCATTGATTCTGCGGCCGTCTCCTGGAAGCATCACCCACACCTTGTGACAGGAAGTGAAACGACAAGCAGTTGCCATCCAACATCTCAGGAAGTGGAAGGACGAGGTGCCAACGGTGCCATTCGGCAACATAAAAATGCCTGATGTGAATATTCCCAAGCTTGGAACAGGGCAGCTGAAAATTCCCCCCTGGGATGTGGCCCATATTTGATAGATCGAAGTTGATCTGCATTTTTTGGAAATCGACCAAGAGACACGTCAATGTTCGAATGGTTTTGTTGTGACACGGACCCTCCTCCAAAATAGGTTCCGGTTGTAATCATCTTCGAGGGTCTCGTTTTTGGAGGTGGCCAAAACAGATTTCACTGATATAGCTGGCATAGCTACCGCTTGGCTGAGGATTGTGCGTAGTGATCCCACCATGGTCCAAAGCATGGTGATCCCACTGGATTCCCAGCGGCTTCGTCATGAGCCGCTCAGAAAACAACCGTTCGCAGGCGGAGGCTCGCAAGATGAAGACTCAAAGAGCTCCTGAAGAGCTGGTCTTGAACTCAGAAAATGACCAATTAAGAGGTTGAGAGACCTTGGTACCATTTGAAACCCAGGGGCTACTCAGGTCGCTTTGAATGGTGGCCGCAAAATGTTGAATGATAATTATGGCCCAACCTTGGTGGGCATGATTTCCAACAACCCAAGTAAGGTTGAGACTGGAGAACATTGACATGCAACTGGGTGTTTCTTGGGGGCCCAAAAAACTGATATCCACTCAGAGGCGGAAGCACGGTGGAAGCGGACCCAGGACGGTGCCCAGCTCGGTGGTGTCTGAAAGAGCTTGGCATCCCCTGGCATCCAAAGTCCTTGTTGGTGCCAGCAGAACGCCTGCGTCCGAATGGTGCCTTTTAAGGAGGCCATGCCTTAACGGCCTTTTTTTGCTGTGGGTACTACAAGAGTTTCTGAAATCCAACGGCCGTAACTGTCTCCAGAAAGCAGGACCCCTTGGCAGAGAATCCCAACTTCCAATGTTGTTTTTGGTTTTGGGCGAAGTTACTTCAGGACATCCACCGCGAAGTGGACCGCGTCCAGCGCCCAGTCCTGGATGCTGCTGGGGCTGCCAGCTACACCTTGAGAGCTGCCAGCCACACCTCGAGCGCTGCGTAGGCAAGGTGTGAAAAGGGCACTGGATCTCCAGCAGCTTTGAGAGCGTTCCAGCGTTTCGTTCAGGTGCTAATGAAATCTGCTTCGAACTCTGACTGCAGCATGTGCTCGATGTATTTCGGTATGATATACGAATATGTAGTCTTTCTTGGTCATGTTGTGGACCCCCATGAAGCAACAGACGCTGCAGCGCAAGGCTGAGTTTCACTGTTGCAAATGCCGCGATCCATGACTTTCGACTTTCCACATGCTCTGCCATAGCCTGTGGCGTGGAATGAGGCTTTTATCATCAGCACTTTGGACCCAAACATTTGTCTCATTCTTTTGTTCGGGGATTGTGGGCTCTCTACAATTCACTCGCAGCTTTTTGCCTCCTTTGCCTCCTAGGAGCCTTTAAGTTAGATTCCTGACAAAAGATCCTGGAGCACTGCAGGTCCAAGCCAGAACAGTTTTTCGGCACATGCCCACAGAATTAACACATCCGCATTGTTTTTACTTGCCAGACTCTCATACCGTTGAAAGCAGATTGTTGGAGCAAAAATTCAACCAAAGACTACAAGAGTGTTGTGTGTATATATATATATATGCATAGTTTGTCATTTATACCTTCTGATTTTTGTACTTCTTAAGCTTTGTCAGACACTTGTGAGCCCGGAAAGTCGAGAGAGGAAGCTTCTTTCAGTGAACTTCAAGTAGCTTTGGGTTCAAATTTGAGGCCTAACTCGCAGATGGGCTGAATTTCATCATATCAATCCACAGCTTGTTTTAGTCCATTGAATTGAAAGAACCTGTTTAAAACGGCTGGTGACAACTATGGTTTCCTGCAGCTTTTCCGTGTTTCACGAGCCCGATGATTGGGGCATCAAACAGGTTTGTCATGTCTGATGGGCATCCCAAAATTTGATGATTAGTCATGATTAGTCATCATTTTCCCCGTTAAAGTTGGCAATACAGTGGGGGTCAATCGCCCATTTGAAGGGACCCAAATTTGACCCCCAGCCCGTTCAATCGTTTAGCTTTAAGGCGTGCCTTGTTGCGTACCAGAATGATTCACAGCACTGTGGCGCGTCACGGAGTCGATCTTCAAAAGATTTGGCGCGCAGCGGCTCCAAAACCTCATGTTGATAGCTACCTTTTTTTTGGGGCATGGTTAAACTGGGTTATCAATACCCCGAAATTTGGCAAAACTGGATAAATTGTCATGATCCAATTTTGCAACATTAGGTTGTGCCTTTTCGGCATGGCCCAATGTCAAGAAGAAGTTGCAAAATGGACAAAATTCAGCAGACAGAACATTTAGCGGCTTCATCTCAGCTCAAACAGATTGCCTCGTTTCTGTTTCGTGCGGTTTCGTATGATGATGACATGCAGCTAAATCCAACACTGCAATTTCCCAAACCTGATCAACATACCAGTATAGGAGTCTAGTTTGCACACGGATCCTGCCACACTGGAAGAACATTGGCGCCAGGTTGGCCTTGAGCCAAACCAGGGATGGAAAAGTTGTGAACAAACTGCTGGCAATGTGAAGAACTGCGGGCAGCCATGGATTCAAAGAAGCAACCCCTGCTGCCGCGCCACCAAGGTGCAGGATCGCGGGTTTACTCACAGTTTTTTTGGAAACATTGTGGATCTATGTGGGTTTGTCTGAAAATAGTGTACCCCTACACCCAATGGTTAATGATCATTATCCCTACTAAATGGCTATAATTGGGGGTATACCCCATTTTCAGACATACCCATGTGGATCTGCAGGGCTGAATTGGAACAATATAGAGACCTCACCCACAGACTGGATGGTGAGATGATTTTGAGTCGCCAAAAAGACCCCTCTAACATCCAACAGGAGATGCTCCTTGGCCAGATGGACAAGGACGGGAGATCCAGGTCCGAATCATCCGAAATGGTCCAATAACCAATGCAATAGATATGATTACGGAAGGATGTGGATCCGAAATGGTCTGCAGACCAAGAAAACCTTGGGTTGGCCCTGGCAGGACAGGTTGACAGCCTTCGGCCGCATATGCAGCTTGAGGACCAGATCGTAAGTGGCTAGAAACCGTGGTTGGACAGTTTTCGAACTCAGGGGAAACTCGGATATGAAATGGATTGAAGATATTGAAGTTATACTTATAATTACTTGTAGCATCTTGTAGCAATACGTGCCTATGGATGTGCATCAAAAAGTTTTTCACCAACATACACTAACCCATCCAGTGAACTGATTCAGCTCCAGATTTCAGGATGGAGGGAGCTCTCCCATCAAGTCACATGCGCAAGAACGGCATGATGCAGCCTGGGACACCCAGGTCGCCCAGGTCCAATCATCCGTGGAAGCCGAGTTGATGACTTGTGCCACCTTGCCATACCTTGCCCTTGTTGACTTTGAGGCTTTGGCCGGGATCGAGCAGCGAGTCAAAGATCTCAGTCTTCAAATGCGTCGGCCTCAGGAATGCCACCCTTCGATCGCAAGAAATCACTGGACTGGATTCGTGTTCAATGCAGGTCAACAAAAACACCAAGTGTATGCCGTAGCGAGATTCGTCCGTCCCCATATATCTCATCATCATACATCCTATACATCCTATACATCCCCATCCCATCCATATTTATTCCCTATCATTGAACCTCAGCAGGGGACCATCTGCAGGAATATCTTCGCAATCATCTCCTTCACAGTCGCTGGATGCCTCCTATGGGCCTGGTACTACGACCAGCTCCCACCGGACCAACAACGGCAGGCTAACACCACGGGCCTGGAATGGGAACGGCAGAGCTATGCTTGTATCCATACTCCCGAAAAATGAGGAGCCAAAGGAGCTAGGAATTGAGTTTCCCAACCACGAATTTGAAATGAATGGACCTTGGGGATGTGAACACCTACCAGGCCTACCAAGTGTTGGGGTTTGACAAGGGGAATCTACTGTATATTGAATACAAAGCTTGCTAGAGGAAGGGGCTTCCAAGGTTGGAAAATTGGACAAGGCCTCCAGAAGCCCTGGGGTCTTGCTGCTTGCTGGAGGTAAAACGGATTACAGTAAATGATGCTAAAGGCAGCTGTGATTGTCATTAACACATCCTCGGACCAAACCTGACCAGAAACACCGATTGTCCATTTCAAATCACGGCTGTCACGTGGTCCTTGGAGGCACATCATTTGGCATTGCAAGTCTCCATTCCTGTGGTGGCATTGTTCTTCACATGGTCACCATCTGAGGGTCCATTTCTTCTTGGGTTCAGGAATGTCCAGGGGAAATAGGGGGGTAAACAACCCCAATCTGTGGCAAATTTCATGGGAAACATGGTATAAGATGGTATAAGTACAAGCTGATCATAAACCATTGGGAATTTTAAGGGTACCCCATTCTTGGACAAACCCCAGCTGTGGTGTCTGGCACTTGTTTTGTGAGTGCTGAGGTTTCATATCTGGCTTGCTATCCAAATGATGCCGGGCGACTCAGGCTTCGCTACGCCTCGCTGTGAGGATGGGCCATTTTTCTGATCCCATCAGCTCAGGTTTCTTCCCCTGAAGTTCCTGGGCATTTGGCAGTGAGCCCCTGATTGATATGATTTTTGCACGACAGCCCGGTGGTTTCTTTCGATGCCAGGTACAAAGACACTGGCATGGGGGTTGGTTGGCAAGGAGTGGTGCCCAGGAAATGCACCAAGATGGCTCGCACGGCCTTCAAGTGCGCGAGGTTCCCGGGGGGGAAGATGCCTCCAGTGCCTCAGGACTCTGCAATGGATCAGGTTTTCTTTGCTTTGGATGAGATTTCACTAGAATCATTTATATAGTGTTAGTTGGAGTCAAACCAATCCCCTCAATGGGTTGAATGACCCTTTAAATCGGACATGTATCAATCTCCCAACGAGTTTTGTTTGTACCTGGCATCCCCCAATTTATGTTCCGAGTCTCAAGTTCTTGACTATGAAACTTTGATAGTTGAATCCAACGTATATGTGTTGTATCTATACCTATTTGGCTTGGATACTTCCAGAAATTGGAAAACAGGAAAAAATGTGGGAGCCCTGTATATTGATGGTAAGTGCCATGTCTTTTATGGTCAATTTTTTCTTGCACCAGGCCCGTGAATACTATCTGATCAGGATAGGTTCTACTGCCCATCTCCCATTTGCCAGGCCATATCTCTTGGGTCCAAGAGACTGGTTCAAGCGTGTGGACACCAGTGTTCTATTCTCGAAGGTGCTGAAGTGTGATGCCATCCCATTGAGGGCCCAGTTGAACTATATGTGGGTACCCCAAATCCATACCCCCGAAATTTTGGGGCATGTCTTTTTTTCTTAATGTTTTTTTTGGATTATCCAGATTAATTGGTCTTGTTTGTTCTGTTCCCAGCTCAGCACACGGTTCAGCTAACGATTACTGCACCTGTTGTTTTCGAGTGGATCAGTCGAGGAATCCATGAGGAATCCAAGCCACCAACAGTCATCAGTTTTATCTGCCAGATGCATCCCATGCTGGAGCGTGTTGTTAGGGCCCGGCGCCCAGCAAACAAAGTCACTTCTTTGAGGACGGTCAGCAAATAAAAGTCACTTCTTCGCTGTGAGATCGGGGTGGATAGACAGGTGGGTCAACAATAAGGCAACCATCAACAGCGTCTCCCGCCGGCACTTTCCTTCAATCTTGGTGCGGAGCTCAGTTGTTGCAGGATGGGGCTTCACGAGGGAATGTTCAAAATGATTGGCTAGAGATGGCTAGAGTGGATGGTTAATTTTTATGATCCACATGTAGGTAGCCAGAAACATTGCTTTAGCGTTGGGTCTATTGAGTAATTGAGTCTATTCGATGATTTTCCCAGGTGAACAGCCGCTTGCCCAGCAATGTGGAGGAGGAGTTGGTGACCTTGGCGATGGAGCAAGTGGAGGCACAGCGCTGTCGTCGTGAAAACAGGGGCATTTCACCAAGAAATAGATATTTCAGGGGATTTCATGGGATTAATGAGATTTGATAGGTTTTAATTGGATTCTTTTGGGCCTATTTGGAGACAAACCAAGCTGGCAATGGATCGGAATTGAATCCAGATCTATCCTAAATGAGTGTATGACGATACAAACTACAGTCTTTTAATTTACTGGGACGGGTGGAACAAACGAACCAGAGCAAGATAGCCTTTTCTTCGGCTGATGATCGTCTTGTTCAGGGTTCCTGGTGGCTTCTCAAGGTATTGGCAGTTGTGTCCGTTTATGTCACGGGCATTGATAAAATGGTTGAGGCAGTGGATTGTTGGTTATTCTTACATCCTATCCCATCCCTATGACCCCATGATCCTCACCCACTTTTACCTTGGAATTGATAGGTATATGCGGTACGGTATATAATTATATATATATGATTCAGATATATTCAGATAGGTATGTGATTTACTCAATTTACTCATCCATTTTTCTGGTGACACGATCTTCCCATGAAATCTCTGGAGGAGACCTTTCCAGAGATGTGGCAAAAGATTGTGGATCTCCTCTGCGACTCGGAACGAGGCCACAAGGGCCCATGTCTTTTTTTGTTTTTTGCATGGTCAGTGACTGGAAAATGGGGGCAAGGGTCTTGTCAATTTTTGACCAGTATTATAAATAGACATAAATAGACATAGCAGTACATAGCAGTACTACCAGATAAATTCCCTTATTGAATATGACAGTATCCCTTATTCCCAATTTTGACACTCGGAATACCGTTACAGTAATTCCCACTTTGGCGTCCCCAAAACCCCGGTGGATTTGACCAGGTCTAGACAATGATGGCATGATCGTGAGTGTCTTTACCCAGAACAAGGCTGCGGAAAAACCGCATGTGCGAACGTAGTTGCTTCCACCAACCCCCCCCAAAAGATAGAAGACAAACTCCAACTAAAATAATGGTGACTTACTTTTCCTTTTCCGTGTTTTTGGTGGCTACGATAAGTATGAAACATGTAGATTTTGGTGCGGCGACAGGTATATGCACAGTATAGAATGCAGGTTTATGATACAAAACACATGTTCAGTTCTGAAGATCGTATTCCTTGCTGAGCACCTTTTCTATGAAATTGATCATCAGTGCTGCCCATGTGAAAGCAATCCGAATTCGAGACACTGCCCCTTCAAAAGCCTCTGTTGGCATGAGAATGGTGATTATATCCTTGCATCGCTAAAACCTGGGTAGTTTGATTTAAACACATATGAAACAAAAGGCACCTTATTTGTGAGGTAGTTGTGGCTCAGCACACTTATTGACACTCAGTGGCCTTTGGGAAAGGAGCTTCTGAACCTCTTCTTCCTGTCACTGGGAGAGAAGGAGTTCCGCTTTATTGAGCGTGGGCTGCTCAAATGCTAGCGTCGTGGCTTTCACAGTGTTTGGTTGGTAATCTCTTCTCCGGTAATCAGACATGGCTGGAAATTCTCTATGTTCATCCATTTTTCCATTCTGAAAATCATCCAGAAATGGTGGATCTTTGCCAGGTTAGACAATCAGAGGGTAGCCATCAGACGTTTCCCATCAGACAGCTCTTGAGGTTGTGGCGCAGCATTGGGATTTGTTTGTGGCCTGATTCAGCCGCTTGGCCGGCAGGTCCATCTTGGTGGTACCTTGCGTAGTACCTTACAAATTCGCAGCATTTTCAATCGAATGTGGATTTCTTTAAAACCACCTGTCTATCCATCTGGATTTTTCCTTGAAGTATGAGACCTTCTTCATGAGAACTTGGAAAATTATGAGACCCATCTTCAATTTCATGAACATTAATGGAGAATTCGAAGAATGCACGACAATCATGATGACTATTCCTGCAATTCCCTTCTTCACAAGGTCCTTTTCAATCTTTCTGCCATGGACTGACTGCAGTGAGGCTCTTGGCCTTCAACCATCTGGATGATACAGGCCCCAGGAATGGGATGACGCATGGGTTTTCAGGAACAACATGTTTTTTTTTGTGGTAAATTGTGCTAAAACATATGGTAAAAATAGGTAAACGATATAATAAATCATCTGGATTTCTGCATCAGTCTCCAACAGGGATTTTTCATGAATCACGCCTCACTTTGCCGCGCAGGTCGAATGATCCTGCTGCCCGGCACTGGCTTCTTCCTGGGAATTTTCACCAATTGGCTACTCGTGGGAATTCAGACAAAGCGGCAATGCGGCAATGCGTGCTTTGAAATTTGGATCATTTGGTCTACCATGGGTTACCCTCCAGTAAACTAACATAGCTATGGAACATGGTCCATTTGTAGATGTTCCACCTATTCAACATGGTGATTTGCATAGCTATGTCAAATTACCAGACAGTACGGGAAATGATCAAGTGTGTAGGTCCATTGCTACCACCATTGGGGTCCTTGGACGACAGACGGTGAACTAGCGGAGATATGATATGGGAATCCATGAATTTGCGGAACATGATCCACAAGTGGAGGTTTCCCAAGTCATGGGAGTCCCCCCAAATCATCATTTTTTCGGGGAGGATTTTCCATTATAAACCATCCAGCTATTGGGGTCCCCCATTTAAGGACTCCCCCAAATGTCCATATCCATGTGCTGTTGCACACAGCGAAGGCTTGCCATCCAGATGTGCTTCAAACCTTGTTTTCCTCGTCATCTCCGTGTTGGGATCCAAAGGGCAGATGGGAACGGTTCGAAGCCAATAATAAACCAACCATTTGGGGGTGACTTTTACCATCTATTTACCATCTATTTAGATTCTATTTATAGTTGTTTTATGACTTAGAATACATAGGAAAACTACCCAACAGTACGTGATTAAAGGGTGTACGTGGCCAAGTTTGTTTTCGTGGCTAAGAAAAATCAGGGCTAACCAATGATGAAATAATTACGTGGCTAAGAAAGCCTGCCGGCAGGTATTGGGGATGTTTTATCATTTGGTTTACCAATGGTTTACCACATTGCACACGACTTTAAAATTCACATGCAGTGACACATGACATCATATGACGTCACATGACGTCCATCCACTTCTGTTCCCTTGGCGATTTACACGTCCCCATCAGCCGTTCTTCTCGAAGAACGCCCGCGGGTTCCGACCGCCGTTCTTGGCCCGGTACCCCCCGCTGAGGTTTGCGGGAAGTTGATCTACACAGTCCAGGGTCTGTTTCTGAAGAGACAGAGGCATGCGCGATGTGGGATCCACTGGCTGCCACAGTCACCAGCTTCAAGTAAATCAGCCAGAAAAGGGGGGAGGGGTATGAAGTTATTCATCCTTTTTGCAGGAGTTCATAAACACATTAAAACACAGTGGGGATGTTTTTTAATTGTAGATCCCAGATTGAAGAAGATAGGTGAACAGTCGCGAAACAGAACGGTATTTCGATGCTGGCGCACAATTCTTCGACCTCTGTCTGATCGTTTGGTGTTTGGCATATTCAATCTGGTCGTTGCTTGAAAAGATTTTCCCACCTATATATATATATATGATAATATATATATATATATGTATGATACACGTATTTGGGATGATCAAAAATGACTTTTATATGTTTGGGATGCGTGGAAATCACCAATTGGCATTTTTTTTTTTCAGTTTTTCCTTTTTATTGTCTTCGAAAGGGTGCACAACGAGAGTTGAGCATGGCAGGGACGTGGCAGTTCTCTATTCCAAGATGCTGGTGGATCACTTCTTTGACTTTGACAAGGTGGCATGTTGATCCCAAGCTGATATCGATGTGACAGCTTACCATGGTAAAAAGCTTCAACGATTGTACCCATGGTAAGCTTCAACATGGATAGTTTATGACAACTTATATAACTTTGACACGATGACTTTAAGTGGTAAACTACACAAACCATGGTAAGCTTCAAACCTTATTTTAGAGCTGACGCTCATCGTCGGCTCCGCCGGATCGCTTGACCCTCGATGTCATCGCAGGGTGGGCTTGAAAGCTTTTGAATGAGGACCTGCTGCTTCAGAAATATATTCCTTATGTTTTTTTGATTTCGACCATATTCATGGAATCATGGAACTGTTTTTTTTCCTTGGAGCAAGTGGGGAACGCTTGTTCCCGAAAGCTCCTGCGAAGGGTTTTTCCTCTGCCAATTTCAACTTTCCACTTCGTGTAAAATCGCCTTTGTGTAAAGACTTCTCTGTGTGAAAGCTTCTGTCTGTAAAAGCTTCTGCGTGTAAACCTTCTCTCTGTAAAGACTTCTCTGTGTGAAAGCTTTTGTGTGTAAAAGCTTCTGCGTGTGAAAGCCTCTCTGTGTAGAGATTTCTGTGTAAAAAAATCTGTGTATGAAAGCTTCCGTGTGTAAAAGTTCTCTGTAAAGACTTCTTTGTGTAAAAGTTTCTGTCTGTAAACGCGCCTGTGTGTTAAAGCTCTCTGTGCAAAGACTTCTTTCTGGAACAGCGTCTGTGTGTAACAGCTTCTGCGTGTAAACGCCCTTGTGTGTAAAGGCTCCTCTGTGTAAAGGCTTCTCTGTGTAAACGCTTCTGTGTGCAAAAGCTCTGTGTAAAAGCTCTTCGTGTAATCACTTCTCTGTGTAAAAGCTTCTGTGTGTGTGAAAGCTCCTCTGTGCAAAAGCTCCTCTGTGTAAACACGTTTGTGTGCAAAATCTCCTTAGTGTAAAGACTTCTCTGTGTAAAGGCCTCTGTGTGTAAAACTTCTGTGTCTAAGGGCCGCTCTGTGTACGGACTTCTCTGTGTGAAAGACCCTGTGAGTGTAAAAGCTTCTGTGCGTAAAAGCTGCTGTGTGTAAAAGCTACTCACCAGCAGCATTCATCACCTCCCTCCAGCTTTCTTTCGGGCCACACTGTCTAGTTTCAATCTGTAACGTCGTTTCTTGTTGAAGAATACCAAGAACATGTGAAAGCATCGCTCGTTTAAAAATTGAACATAAACAGCGCACAAAGTGCTGTAATTTACAGCATTTTGCGCTGTCAGATGGCAAGAATCCGTGTAAACACCACAGTTTTAGTCCCCGAAAGTGGATAAAACACTGTTATTTACAGGGTTTCGTTCACGTCACTATCTTCGATTTTTTGAAAAATGTGTAAATACCAGCGTTTTTTGCGTTCATCAAGGCAAAACATCGGTTCAAAAAGTGCAAAGCATGCTGTAATTTGTAGGGGGTTGGTACCGTCACGGACAAAAAACTGCGTAAATACCAGTGTTTCAGCGTCCACAAGTTGCCAAAACACCGCTATTTACAGTGTTTCGTGCCTTCCACGTTTTCTTGACAGTCAAAAAGCACTGTAAATACCAGCATTTTTTACGATCAACCCGCAAAAAATATTGTAATTTACACTTTTGTTTGCTTTGCTTTCAAAAACACTGGTATTTGCAGTGTTTTGTGCATCTCTGGTCTAAAAGGTATTGGCATTTATAGCATTTTCTGCGTTTTTGTATTGTTCCCGCAAAAGACGTTAACACGCAAAAATGCTGTAATTTACAACATTTTGTGAATTTAAAACAAGCTAAAAATCGTCCGAAAAATGTGTCAAAACGGCACTTTTTTCCGATTTTAGGTCCCTCAAAACAGGAGGGAGGGGAAAAAAATGTAAAAAAAATTGATTCAGTGAAGTTTTCTAAACTAATATCATAGCAGTATAACAAATCAAAATTTATTCATAAAAAAAACATAACAGTCCAAAAAGTCAGTCTATATATTGTTAATTGCTTCATTTTTCTCAACCATATCAAAACATAATTACCTCATTCAATTTTTCAATATCATAGCAGTCAAAGCATACTTACCTCATTCAATTTTTCAAAATCATAGCAGTCAAAGCATACTTACTTACCTCATTCAATTTTTCAAAATCATAGCAGTCAAAGCATACTTACCTCATTCAATTTTTCAAAATCATAGCAGTCAAAGCATACTTACCTCATTCATTTTTTCAAAATCATAGCAGTCAAAAGCATTATTACCTGATTCATGTTACAAAATCCTATCCATCAACCGTTCGTAAATTCCGTTTATGCTTCTCTGTTTTTAAATGTCTTGAATAACATTGTGCCTTCATTGATGAATTACATACATTACAAAAGGCAACTTTATCACGATAGTTTGGTATTTGTTCCTGTTTCTTTTTTCTATATTCTTCATCTTCTTTATATTTAGTTCTTCGTGTTTCATTCACTTTATCTTTATGTTTGTCATGGTTCTTTCTCTTGTATTCCAAGCATTTCTTACAAGTCTTCAATCCATCTTCAAAATTATCAATTGGTAAATCTTTAACACAGTATCTACAAAATTTATCCATTACATATAAATATGATTATCTTCTTAAATGTCTTTTCCAAGAATTCCTATAACAACCAAAAAACAAAAACAAACCAAGCAAAGAACAACAAAAAAAACAAAACAATAGACAACAATAAATATTATTCCCTAGCGTTTAATAACCCTATCTTACAAATCCATAATTCTAATAAATAAATATTATTAGAAATATGTTAGTAGCAAATATCTTCAATAATAGTTAATTTAAAATGAAATGCTTGTATTCCTATCATACTATCTTTATCTTGGTCTTCTTCTATGTCGGTATTTATTTCTTCATCTGCTTTATTCAATACATCGTCTGTATTATCTTCATCTACATATTCATCAAAGTCATTCATGAAGTAAATTTCTCTATAACTAAATTCATTGTCTCCATATTCTTTATCTGGGAGTTTTGCTACTATTTGGACTTCAATATCAAGTTTAACTCTAAAATTTAAATTATATTCTTCTACTTCTTCATAAATCAAAGATTGTATTTTTTTCTTTTTCTTCTGTTATGATGTTTCGTATACGTTCAAACTAAATGGCACTCTCTCTCTCTCATGATACAATACTCAATTATACACATTTTGTTTCTTTGTCTTATCTTTCTGTCTATTTCGGACCAAGTCTTGATATTTAATATTTGTTTTGTATTCTCTTCAATGCTTCACTAGGCTTTATTTTCACATATTCAGGTTCTCCAATTGTATAAGAAACGATTTTACTCAACACATCAACAGGCAAACCCTTCATACAATTCGTCTTATAAAAACTTATATAAATAACTTAGTCTTTCAGTATGTATTCGAAGATTAAAATGTAGAATTCTTTGAAAAACTACTTAAAGATAAATTAACGAAATAACATATATACTATTATATGATGAAAAAGGTTACAAACTATTTATTGAGTAAGGATTTAGCAGAAATACCAAAACGAGGAAGGAGAGAATTAAAGTCAATAATAATAGATGATAAAAGATTTAGATACAACAAAGACAAACCAATATCTACTGTTTTAACAAAGAAACTATTGACAGTAAAGAAAACTAATGAATACAGAAGTTATGCTTTAAACAAGGCAAAAGATGCGTTCAGTGAAGGAAAAGTCAAAAACTTACTAACCAAACACGCAATACAAAACAAATTGAAGGTCAGAGATATTCAGTCAGCATTTAGAAGATATGCTAATTCAATAGTGTTAGAAAATAAACACTTTGAAGGTGAAAGGGAATTAGAAATGATTGCTCACCAAAAACCAAGACTATTGGAGTTTTTAAGAAAGAATAGAAGCATGAAACTTAACATAAGAACAGAAGCACTCTTTGAAAAACCTGAATACGATGATGGAGGTAATGAAATTGGCAGTCAGGAACTTGTATATGCTCTACCATCAACACGCTTCAATATTAGTAATGAGGATGAACTGACGCAAGCATTAGAAGACAGTGTTAAACAAATCTTATTACAAATACAGAATTTAGAAGCATCAGCATCCAATTTAAGATTTAAGAAGATTTTGACAATAACCATTCACTATGACAAATATGACCCAACAAGAGCAGGGAGATACATAGAATTACCTGAATGGATTAAGCTAAAAAAGGCATGTATCAACATAAAGAACAGAGACCAAAAATGCTTCAAATATTGTATTCAATCCGTAGTCTATGACAAAATAAGCAAACACCACCCAGAGGAAATGTTCCACTATAATAAACTGAAAGATGATATTTTGAACTGGGATGGTGTACATTTTCCAACTGGCAATAGGGACATTGACAGATTTGAAGAGAACAATAAATCAGTTTCAATAAATGTGTTTGAACCCGATGACTGCTTAAATGATAATCAGATTATATTGCATAGAGGCACTAAAAATAGAAATGCTAAATACGAAATTGATTTACTAAAAATCTATGATGAAGATAATAATTATCACTACGTATTAGTTAAAAATAAATGTAGATTATTAAACTGTCAAAGCAGTAGCAACACACATAAAAAGTTTTACTGCAACCATTGTTTAAATCCCTTTCAATCAGAAAAGGTATATAAGAAACATCTTGAAAACGGATGTATGGCATCAGAAGGACAACAAACAAAGATGCCAGATAGAGACATCTATATAGAATTTGAAAAGCATAAAACTAAATTGCCTTGTCCTTTTGTAATCTATGGTGATTTTGAATGTCTAACCACTAACTCTAATACTGAAATAAAGGGAACTTACGACACCGAAGGTGCCCTAAGTTGCTCTGGAAGCAGTGCTCCCAGAGGAACTTACCAAGAACATAAACCTTGCGGTTATATGTTGAATGTTGTAAGCAGGATTGATAATACTTGCAAACCGTATTTATACAGGGTGAGGATTGTATGAAACACTTTGTAGAGAAACTGACGGAAATTAAGAAAGATATATCTGAA